AACTACTTATTCCATGTCAAAAGTAGAGAAAAAGAAAAATTATGGCTGTCTGTGATGCATGTAAAAAACCAGCTATTTGAGGTGCTTCTGAGGAAGCACCTTATATCACCATGAGTCACTTCTCTTCTTATGAGAAGGTTTCTCTCAGTGGCACTCTCCAGAGGGATTTCCACACACTGAACTCCTCAGGCAGCCAAGGGAAACCACAGCAGAACACAACACAGGCACAAAAAGGATATCTCTAAAACTTGCAATGGCTGCAATCCATGCCAGTGTCTGGCTTTCATATGTCTCAGAGTTGCTTATCTCTTCATTTAATGGATGTGATAATTAAAGGACAGAAATAAGCAAATGTAACTGACAAAAAACCCCCTGAGGATGCATCAGTAGCTGCACAACAACAACCCCTGCCTCCCTCTCCCCTCTTTTATCCACCATGTTTGTCCTGTACTTTGGTTAAAGAAAAGGAGGATTTTACAAATCAGTAAAAGTCTTAAGAGTAATTTTAAATCTGGATCATTACAATATGATGTGTTTTAGGTATTTCTACTTCCATTTCTGAGACGTAGCCTGACTGAAGGTCAAGATAGGCCTGAATTTCAACTATGCTTCCACAGACTTCTGGATCCTGCTATCATGAAACTAAGGTTGGCCCTTGAAAACACACCAAGCTGAGATGCCATCATATGAAGTTTGTGGAAGTTTAAAATAAAGGAAGGTGGCTTGATCTATCTCTCACTGACAGTGTGTCAGGGAATAGCCACTGCCATGCCTTGGCACAGCTTTCTGTTGAAAGGGTTTCTCTCTGAAAAGAAGCTTGGCATAAAACAAAATTGTGATCTTCAGACAAGCATAAGGACCTAAGTCTGCAATAAGCATTACTGTATCTCAACAGACACATAGAAGTTATTGCAATAGCATGAATTCTTTGTGTCCTACTAGAAATACCTGCAGCTTCCACTTCCAGAGAGGCAGGATCACAGTTCTGTGCAAAATGTACTTTTTATTAAGAGCAAAAGAACTGTTTGCCAGTCCTACCAATTACAACTTCTTCCCCCTCTCCATGGCAACTTCCCTATTAGTAGCATCATTCAGTATGCTATCTCTCAGTTTAAAAGTCATCAGACATGGTAAATACATAGCTTCTTTGTTGTCTTGCCAGATGGAAAATCACTCTTTTGTGAGGGAGATACTGAAACACGTATAGACTGACACAATTCATGTAACACTGCACAGCCATCAAAGATCGTAATTTTGTGCCAAATGATGATGCAGCCCAGGTCTGAACAGTCAGTCTAGTTATAGTGTTTTGCCTGCCATGGCCCTTACCTAGTACTGCCAGATCCTTCCTGGTCAATCATTTTAATGCTTATAAATGACCATCTAAATATATAAACAAAATACAACCCTACAGAGACAGAAGAGCTATCAGCAATTGGAAATACAAGGAGAGACTGCAGGAGGACTTCAACAGACAAAGCATTTCTAGCAAGGCCTAGGGAGAGAGAGAAGTTTCAGTCTTGCCTGGTCATTTTTCACAGAATGAAAGAAATTAGTGGAAGAAAAGAGTAGTTATATCACCATTATCACTGCCCTGCTAAAGCAAGATGGCATTCTTCCTGCCTCTCTAATCCTTTCTGCCACCTCTAATGCATTCACCTGCAGTAGTGCAAAACTGGTATGTACCTACTAAGTTACCAAACTCACACAAGTCATACACAGCTCTCCCTGCCCTGCCACAGCAGAGCAGAACAAACCAGCAAGGAAAATACTGTTTTAAGGTCTCCCTAAGAGACTGTGTCATGTGTCTGATTTTGGGGTATTCAACCAGATCCTCTCATAAAACTGGCTTCTGGTACGATCATCAAGCTGTCAGTGCCGGGCCATGAGGCTGCTGGGAACACATTTTTTGCCCTCACAAGAATAAAGTATTTCCTGCCAACAAGCTTGTTTATGGATGCGCCAAACTCAAGAAAAAAGAGGCTTCATGTCTATTGAACCACTTCATCATTCCATTAAGAAAAGAGAGAGGGAAAAATAATACTGTTAAAGACTCTGACAGAAAGCATTTATGTTTGGCTGGAACATTAGTGAGCTTAGACTGCAATATCAGAAATTTATTAACCCAGATGTAACTTTTACAGCTCAGAACTTGCAGATAATTTACATTTCTACTAGTGAGCATAGCTATCATGACAAAGAAAAGTGATTTCTGTGAAAAGCTGGTAAGAGAGGTTTTAATGTTGAACACTACTGTAGGAAATCTTCAGTTGTACTAGAACAAATACATAATGGAACAGTAGATGAAGAACTGCTCCAGCCTTGAATTTCTGGTGATGGGCACTACCAGTGAAAACCTGATAAGCTTCACAACACACTTCTGGATTCCAGAAGATTCTCTCTGTAGATTCTCTGCAGAGAGAAGCCAGCCTATCTCTGTGGATGAGACTGTTCTGCTGCATGGCCATTTGCAGATTATGAACAAATAAATGTTTTCAAACTACACCAAAACTCAAACCTTAACTATGTCCTGCTGTTTTATTTGGGTTTCACTCTGCTTCAATTAACTGAGAAGAACCTGACAATTTAGCAGCAACAGAGAACAGAATGGGAAAGCAGTAGAGGGGAGAGCTGCCAGGGCTTTAGTCTCTGTAAAGACTGTAAAGGATCAGGACAGGACAGGACAGGATATCATCTTGATATCACACGCTCTGACAAACAGAAAGACTCAAAAGCAAATGGATTTTCGCCCCTATCCTTGCAGCTGTTGTCCCCTACACCAGTGTCTACTGCCTGGAGAGACAACAGGTAGGTCCAATCGCTGGATGTGTGCACACATTGTAACCAGTACTGAAACGCTCCTGAACATTGGCATTTCAACACTGCCTCTAGACCACAGAGGGCGATACGCACTTGTTTTCACATTTCCCTCCTGTCCCCTGACAAACACAGATACTGGGCAAGATATTTTTATTTTGTATTCTGATCCTACTTCTTTGGCAGGTGAGGAAGGTAATCAGGGCAGCCAGCAGGATCTCTCCTGGTTCACACATAGTGTCAGGACTTGTTTTCCCATACAAGCAGGAAGAGTATTGAGGGATTGGCACATGCTAAATGCACGGAGTTAAGTTTGCTTCATTCCTAAAGATATCACAACCACCTCAGACCATTCTGCACTGTTGTAGCACTTGTAGAGGAAAATGAACTTTGATTATTTTTTGGAACTCTTTCGTGGATCCATGATGGTATAAATTTCATTGTGATATTTGAGGATCCATTTACTCAGAAGAGCAGTTAAGAACTGCTGGTATATTTTAGGACAGCTGTGGCTAAGCAGGGTGCAGTAAGATTTCTCCAGCTGCTACACAGATTTTGAGAGAAAGCTTCAGGATAAGGAGGACTAAGCATTCAGCCTGATCTGGGCTGACACACTGATTAAGGAGAAAAACACCCTGTCCACACAGCTTGCAGGAACTGTGTTTGAACCCCACTGGCAGCAGCAATCACATTTAGTACAGTCATATTTCCATTACACTGAGAGTCTTCACAATTTATGTACAGTTTAATCTGATTATTTTTCTTCCCCATTTCTGCCTGACAAAGTGTACTCATGAGGCCTCTGGCTGGAAATCCATGCTAATCAAGTTAAGGGCCAGTAGATAAAGCAAAGTTGTTTTCTCTGTGTTGTCAGCAAACCACATTTCATGACTATACTGAAGCCTCTGCTAACTAAGGTCATTGACATCATCTTGAAATCCAGGAGCAAGTAACAAGAGCAGGAAAAAGCCCCATCTTGAGTGAAGACAAAAAATGCTGGTGAAGCAGCTCACACCAGGGCTGCAATGTTGGGGGCAGGGGGGAGGCCAATGGCTTCTATGCAATGTTTATGTAAATTACTTTTTTATGGGTTTTATCCACCCACACACAAATGACAGTTTGGATTATTTCAACTGTGGAATTTTGTTTCCTGCATCATGAAAACTAAGTACTCAGCAACTGCCAGACTGCTAAGCAAATGGTATGAAATGTATTGATTCTACAGTGGTAATGATCTTACATTTTTACATAATGCCTTCCAGGCTTAAGTGACCATAGGTACTCTATACATTGCACCTATGAAAAAAGCACCTCAGGAATAAAACACCACAGCTGCTTGAAAGGACATTCCACCATTAAAGAGGGTGCAAACACCAGGAAAGCAAAATACACTCTTCCCAGCTTAAAATCTTAGTAGTATTTTGGAGGGGTTCTAAATATAAGAACCAGATTAGATATTAAGACAGCCATTTATTGGAAAAGGTGGAACAAGTACTGAAACAACTATCAAAACAGTGAATGTCTTTGTCATGAAGTTTACTGCATAGCTGGTGCAGCAAAAACTGCTGCACAAACAAATATCTAGCTAATGTATAACTGTACTGAAAGCTTAGGCTTAAAACCTGGCTGTTGACAAAAGCAGTTTGTCAAGACATCAATTTTCTCTCCCGTTGGAAAGCTAATGCTTCACACAATGTCATTTGTAATTGAACTGTGGCTCCACTTACATACTCAGAAAGAAAATGGAGCATCTGAGTCATCAAAATGCCTGTAATTCCCACTCCTGTAACTCCTGCCCAAGTTCTAACCTGTGACCAACCCTCTTAACCAAAGATCACACCACAAATCTTCACTAAAGGTTTTCTGTACGCACACAAGAAAAATCATGTTTGCGTCTCACACTCTTTGCTGAAAACAATGACTACAGCCATTTTGAGGGTTTAATTTCTAAAATTCAACTGAATTTTAGAGAACCCCAAGGAGAATGGAGCTGAGCACCATGTGAAGACTTTCACCAGACTAAAGAAAACAGCAGAGAGGGGAACATTAGAACATTTTCCTTCTCATGGGACAAATCTGTGATCACTCTTAAAATCACTTGAGGGTAAGAGCAAAGGCTCAGAACTAAGCCTTGCCCCAGGCCTACAGGACAAGTGGTGTCCCTGGTGAGGGAAGCTGCTTACCTCCTGAGTGCGTTTGTCAGCTCAGCAGTCAGTTCACTCTCGGTGTATGGTCTCAGCTCAGCAAGAGTTAATGGTGCTGCGGTGCCATCACTGCATTCCTGAGAAACCAGGAAACACCATCTAGTTTGAAAGTACTTACCATCTTAACTGGAAAATTCTGAAAACCACTTAGGTAACAGCTACTTGTAAAATGAAGGTGAAATAAACATCACAATATTACAGCAACATGGCAGTGTATCAACATACCAAGAAATAGACTAAATGGATTAACACTTCACAAATCCCCCTAAATGTTTCCTAAACCACCACAGCTCATCAACTTGCAGAATTCTGCTAGTGTGCAAAACTGCTGGTGATTTCCCTATATTTCTTTTGAAACAAAGAACACTTGAAACAAAGAACTGCTGGGATCAAAAAATTCAGATGATGCACTGCTAGAAACAAGTAAGAAAGACAGTTATACACTAGCTCTGGATTTTGTTTTTGAACACATTACTGAGGCTTATCTGGGGACACAGCACTAAAATAAGAGGACCTAAGTTTTTCCAGGTATCTATTTCTTAATGCAAATTAATACAGTTAATGCAGAAATCTGTTTATTTTGCATTATAATAAGAGGAGAAAAAGCCTTAATTCTCAAATTATTACAAATTGACTTGGAAAAAGAGACTGTCATTACAATGCTCTAACTGCTTCAAAGGAATGAGAGCTTATTTTTTCAAATTTTGTGTTTGGGGGAGGATGGCATTTTGCTTATACTCCATCCCTTCCACTGTTTCCAGCAAGTGGCAACAGGCAAGACACACGTTCGACCACAGCAACTTGTATGTTTGGCAAGACTGGGCTTGTGGTAATCCTCCTCAAAACAACCTTCTTTTTTGCACAAGCTTAACAATAATTCTGCAAAGTCCTCATAAGTCACAGTATGGAAGGAATCGCCTAACAACTGGAGAAGAGAGAAAAGATCTACATATAGACAAAAGAGAAGAATTATTAACATGCTAAAGACTGATACAGGGAGGGAAGTGGTATAATTAATCATGTTTATGGCTTTGGAAACTTAGCTTGACTCCTGACCTTGACCAGTTTGTCTTTGCTTCCACTGCTGGTTGAGCTGAGAGACCTCATTCTCTGCTCTTTTTGTTCTTCCACTTCAGATTTCAAGTGCTCAATGTGGACGAGGTAGGCCTGCTCCTGGGCCTCTCGAGTGCTCAGTTTCAATTCCAATGCCTTCTTCTCCTTCTCTAGCAGGTAAAGCTGTGCCTTGAGCTCTGCCATCTCCTCCTGTTGAAGAAACATTATCAGCATGCTGCTCATGGGACTATATACCTAAAGGAAGAAGAGGTTAAACAAGATTTTCATCCACTCCTATAACCCAAGTGTCCTTTTCATGGAGAACACTATCAGCACCCACATGCCTTTTTATAGTCACATAGCATATTCGTCAAAAGACTAGTACATCTTGAGTCTGAATATGATGAGCTGTGCCACTTCAGTATCAGCCTCAGAAATAAGCTCATAGCCACTAGTGTGGTGCTGAAACTAGACTATCAAGGATCTGAGAGAGTAGCCACAGCTGCTGAAATTTCTTTGGTTCTACTTTGCCCTTCAGAGACCACTTGCTTAAAACAAGAAGCGTATTACTTTCCTGTCAAAAACCTCCCTAAATTCCAGATTTCAGTTTCTTATTGATACATAAGAATTTATCTCATTAGAATGGAGGGGTTTGAGGGACTAGGACAACACACACAGGTAACATATTCCCACTTTGTAATACCAACCTCTGTGGTAGAATGAATTAAGTCAATAAGGGCAACTTGGTATGGCACCATCAGATGTCCATTTTTAATTTCCCTTCTCTAGAAAACCAGAATACCCAAATATACACAACTTAAGTTGACAAAATTGCACTCAATTATATTCTTCCATAAATATGATCCACAGAGGATTGACTTCACAGAGAGAAGCTGAATTCTGAGAGCTCATTCTTGTGTGCAATTCTTCTGCCACTCTGATGTTTATGACAGGGCTGTCACCTACTGTAACACAACAACTGATATTTGGGGACAGATCTCTGTTTTAACATCTGTCTGACAGTGGCTGGGCAGAAGTTTAAGAGCAGGGCCTGAGTGCAATGACCCTTCTTTCAGCACATGCTCCCAGCCTCCCACGTAAGGCAGCTGATGGATATCCCGAACCAGAAGGACCTTTGTGTTTAAAAGCACTTCAGAAAAGTTTCTTCTACAAAATGCCTAGTTATTTTCTGAACCCAGAAAAACCCAGTATCCACAAAACCTTTAAAGAGATAGAACTAAAATGTAATTTACATTATGTGCTAAACAACACCAACAAACAAACAGAAGACTGCCAAAACCAAAAAAAGACTCCAACCTAGAATCATGTTCTCGCTGCTGAGCTTGTCTTGTGCTAGGTTTCCTCATTGATGACTATTGAGTTAAATGCAGACATTTTCTGTATTACCTTTCAGTTCTAAACTTGTTCACTATGTAAACACTTCTCAAAAACAGAAGTTTCTTGTTCTGTGGCCAGCCTAGGAACAAGTCACTATTTTTAATTTTTTTTAAACACAAATTTCGACTAACTTTTCATGTAGAAGAGAATCTACGACTGCCACCAAAAATTTGCTGTCTGGATTAAGTGTAACCAGTGCATGCAGGTGTATCACAGTTACAACCACCATAGGTAATCATCAGCTTATTCAGAATCACCAACAATGCAAAAATGAAATCCATACCTTAAAATCATCTGCTTGTTTGTGAACTGAAGGCTAGAAGCACAACCAGTTTCATTCAATGTGGTTTACACAAATTTAGTTGTTAGGCAAACTTACCATTAATTTCCTTTGTCAACAGTAAATACATAAATAATACTGATAAATAATGATAGGGACATTTAGTTATAGGAGTTGAACTGGATGGTCTGATATACTCAAGTGTATGTATTTAGTTTCTTAAGCCTCTATTTCTAAAGCCATTAATCTACTTAGCCTACTTAGTGAAGGCTGAGAAGTCATTTGAATAGAGTACTTTGACACCTATATGAAAAAAGATACTCTTGATAGAGGGCTATCTGTGTGGTATGATGGTTATGACAGATCTTCCCTGGTTGGAAGCTGAAGCTAGGCAAATTCAGCCTAAAAATGAGGGACATCTATTTCCTAAAATAAAAAGTGAATTTAACCACTACAACAATGAATTTGTGGAATTGATTTTTCTCGCCACCTAAAATTTTTAACTTATTTTAATTATATTTTAAGTTATTTTAATTTTAACATATTCAAGCTCAAAATAAACTTAAGGATCAACGGTTAACTCCTTTGTTTATGAAGACAGTAAGTTTAAATAATCATATATGAATTCACCAGTTTGCATCCTGTCCAAGAAGACATATCGTGCACTTCCCATATGTTTAGTTTTCTCATGTCAAAACAATGTGACTTGGAAGTAAAGAAGCAAAGACAAAGCAGGGGAGAAAGCAGGGGAAAAGTGGAAAAGCTCTCAGCCAGTGTCTTACAGAGGCTTTCAAGGAAGGAGCAGGAAGGAAAGGTTGAAGCTAAAAATTAAAACTACAGTTGAGGATAGCGGTATGGACACATACAATCTGTGAGGCAGGGTGGCAACAGCTACGTGTTATAAGGGAAACTTCAAGGAATTCAGGTTTAGTTAGATTTTTCCCATGAAAATACATTTTCTAAAGACAGCATCTAAATTTAATTTAAATTAAAACACCACCTTTGTATATTTACTATACACCTTTTCTTCTAATTACAGGTTGCTGTGAAACATCTTGCAGTTTAACACTTCTGAGTGTATGTCTAAAGCACGAGTGGCATTTACAAAATGAAACCCTGAAGGAGCACGTGGCAAGTGGTCACTCTTCCAGGTGATAGTAGAACACTTTAGTAATACATGCGAATTCACAAGCTTCAATTATAGTAGTTATTTCAGGACTAATTAATTGAATATTGAGGAATATTTTGTACTTGCAGTCATTAGAAAGAATTTCTTTACAGAGAGGGTGGTCAGACATTGGAATGGGCTGCCCAGGGAAGTAGTGGATTCTCCGTCCCTGGAGATTTTTAAAAAGAGACTGGATGTGGCACTGAGTGCCATGGTCTAGTAACCGCAGTGGTAGTGGATCAAGGGTTGGACTTGATGATCTCTGAGGTCCCTTCCAACCCAGCTGATTCTATGATTCTATGATTCTATATTGTAATTCTGAATTTGGGCAAAAACTTGAATGAAAATTAAAAACTTTTGATTCAATATAATCAGAAACACCATGGAACTTTCAAAATCAACATTTGTATCGGATGTAGTCATGTCAGAAGAACAAAACAGCAAAGAACTCTAATGTGGCAAGAAGTTCTAAAAATCATGAAAAGTCAGGACTCTAGGAGGATGACAGTACCCAAGTGGCATCTGCCAGCCATCAGAGGTAAAACAAACATCAGAGCAGACAAATGTCATGCTCTAGTTAACTGTATTTTACTATATAAATCTATAAGGGCACGAACTGCTGTAACAAAGGTGAACAAGATCCTTAACATTTTCCACAAAGAGACTGAAGTCTCTTCAGTCATTATGAGCAACATTATCACCACCTGTACACAAAGGAGGAAAAATTACCAGTGTAGAAAGCTGAGACTTCTTATCTAGATTAAGTCCTTTGAAATGCAGAAATGCTGTAAACCAAGAATTATTTACAGCCATCAGAAGTAATCTCCTTGCTAACTGGGGCATGACAACAACTGACCTCAAAGCAAGACCGCTGAATGATGACAAACCACAGCCAAGAATATATTTGGAAACATGATTAATTATTGCTTGAAGCAAAGAACTGGATTTTACAGAAGTACTGGTAGACCACTGCGTCTTACACTCTGGACCAATAAAAAAATAATAAACATGGCAACAGAGAAACCACCCTCAAAACATCTTTTTAATCAATAATGAAGAACTACTGGTGTAAAGGCATTTTCAGATTGATGTAGAGATCAGTTTTTACCGGGAGTTATAATGGAAGGTGCCAAAAGATGCAGTAGAGATTCCAATACAGACACAAGTTTTGGAAAGACAGCACAGATCTTAAGACCCAGCAGTGCAGGAAATTATTGAGTAGCTCAGTCAGCTGTATCATCCTTGCTAAGAATGTGCAAGGGAGGGAAAAAATTAAAAGCTGATACACAATGAAGTCTTCTGCAGCACAGATGAGTCCATCTGCTTCAAGTTAAATGAAACTTAAATTTAAATCCTCCATTTGTCTCAGAAGCAGGCAGATGCATATGCTATCTGTATGAGGTACGTTTCAAATAACAAGACACAAAAAACATACTCAGAAAGCCAATACATCCATGAGTCCAGACTTCAGGTTCAACTATGTTATATTTTCTAAACATATGAGCAAGGTATAATGTAGACCTGAGCAACAATCGTGGATGCTAAAAAGGTAATACATTCTCTGGCAACCAAAGCATGCAGAGTGTAGCTGTGCCTTTTGTAATGCTTCATGCATAGAAGAGTTGCTGAGAACACAGCTGCGTTGGGCAGGACATTTCAAGGATGAAGGACCACCACCTCCCTAAGATCTTGCTTTACGGTGAACTTGCTATCGGCTGCCACATAAGAGGAGCCCCGAAGAGAAGACACAAGGGCTCCCTGAAACAACATCTCAGCCTTGGCCATATTGATCAACATCACTGGTCTACTCTGGCCTCAAATCGGGAGGCCTGGAGACACACCATCTATAACGCTGCTGCTTCTTTTGAGAAAGCATGCAGGATCACTCTTGAGGAGAAAAGACAACGCAGAAAGAATCGTGTCTTGCAGAATATACCATCTAAGGAGTCTTTCTGCTGTGCCTTTTGCAATCAGACTTGTCTATCTCGTAGTGGCCTTATTAGCCACCAGTGTGCCTGTAACAAATGTGGATAGAGCCCTTCCCAAATCTTCATTCGTGAAGCCTAGCCATGATATGATGATATGCATAGAAGAAAGGCAGGAGTTTTCAATTTCTGAGCAGAAGATCACGAACCAACGAATGTGTTCCAAGGTTTGACAAACTTGAGTTTTCACCATGTCTCTTTCAGAAACCTAAGGTTTTCCCGCATTGTGAATTCCAGCAAAGTACAAGAAATTACAATGAATAACAGTACTGTCAGTTTCTCTGTACTGGAAAGGACTGAAGGTGACTTCAGCCACCTAGGTTTAACGTGTATCTATTCTGTTTGCAATCCACACAACTCGAAGAAGAAAGATTTCTTCTTCCAGGGGCAATTCCTGCAGTGAAAACCCAGTGTAATAGGTCCAACCAAAAGTTATGAACAGATGCCATATGTCAAAACCAAGTTAGATGATTGCTGAGTGAACAAAAGGATTACCAGCGCTCCAAACTGTACCAGAAATTATGATATGCAACTGCTGGTGTTTCTGCCAGTCAGCGAATGCAAGGGCACTAATCACAAGAGGTAGTTCTGCAGTTTGCCTCCACCAATCAATTTAAATGTAGAGGTAAGAATGGTGTACAAAAGATTTCAAGGAAGATCTGGACACAAAAGAGGAGAATGAACATGATATCTGAAATACACATCTAATTATCTACAAATGTCTTCCAGTACATCTTGCATGCTTCAGTTATGGGGAAAATATTGCTGTAGCCACAACATGTTCAAACAAGTAACATAACTTTAAATCTTCTGACAGGTAGCAAGCAATCTTTCTTCTGAACTGCAAATAATGAATGCATTATTGCAAACTTATATTTATTATCATGGAAAGGCAGCACCACTAAGAATATAATTATCATTACTAAGCTACCAGTTAGCCAGAAGGAGCACATCTGAATAAAAATCTAAAGCTTTAGAAGTTTATGAAACTATTAGGATTTGCTGTCCCAGTTGATACCATCAGCTGACACATCTGCCATTAGTTGACTAAAATACTACTTGTTAAAATGCAGAAATTAAACTTATTTAAACTTAGCCAAACCAGACAAGTTCTGAATGCATACATACAGAATTGCCTACTTGTATTGCCTTTGTTATGTTCCTATGTTTTAGTCCACCTCTCAAAGTCAATACAGAAGACAGACTTAAAATGATATAAGCTCTATACCTGGTCAACAAAAGTCAGGTTTTCTATATCACATCTTTAGAATTGGACAGATAAACCAGAATTTTCTCCAAAACCCTGTAACTGAAGTCATTACACATCCTACTCTTTGCTCAGACTCTGAACCGAGCTACAGATTGCAACACAGTTCCTAGAACAGATCAGGACTTACATGACTGACAGAGTATTAGGGGTGACACCTTCTGGCAGACCATTCTTCCTCCCACAGCTATATTAAAAGGAGGTGAATTTGTTCTGCTTCAGGTCACAAATATTCATGATGCACATTTGCAAGCTTGTAAGTGAAGTAATGAACTGTCTCTTGGGAAGTGCTGTATCATGTTTTTGGTCACCCTTGAGCAACTCAGCTGCCATATCTCTCAAACAGAGCATCTGGTTTGTCAAGGAGAGCATTTCAAGTTTAGATCCACAGATGAAGTTCCTGCCTAATTCAAAACACACATAGCTCTTCAATGTTAATGCACTGCCTTCTGTCACTTTGTGACTACTGGATTTGCAGTCCAGATTATGTGTTTCATAGAATCATAGAATCGATTGGGTTGGAAAAGACCTCCGAGATCATCAAGTCCAACCCTTGGTCCAAATCCAGTCCATTTACTAGATCATGGCACTCAGTGCCACGTCCAATCTGCGTTTAAAAATCTCCAGGGATGGTGAATCCACCACCTCTCTGGGCAGCCCATTCCAATGCCTGATTACTCTCTCTGTAAAGAATTCAACAAAGTTACCCTTTATTACCGAGTGATCTCTACCCAAGCCTCCCACACATGACTGAGCATGTTCTGGAGCACAGGGGCATTGTCAGCAATTTTTAACCTCCTGGTTATAAATAAAATACCTTCATTGCCATAAGTTCCTGCATCAGGACTGCATTTTCCAGGTCTAGCCTCTGGCTGTCTCCGCGTGGCTTAACGTCATAACTAAGGGGATCAATGTGGATGCTTTCCAGCTCCAGCATTGTCAGTTTCACTGCTGCCCTGTCATTTTTCAACTGCTGGATGTAATCCTTCAGCCGCTGCTCATCCTCCTTTGTAAATTCCGTATCACAGCTGCTTGCAGTTGAGCTGGTGGTACTGGAAAGAGAAAGAATGGTATTAGAAAAAACAACATTTGGAACAAAAGCTCAATTTTTACATCAAACACTCTCCTGATACTTTACCAACACAACTGAGTCTTACTTAAAAGTTCACAGAAAGGACACATGTAGCATGGACTGGACATTGCAATGTTCAGAAGATGCAGAAGGGTGTGACAAATTCAGAAAAGAAATTAATTCTCTAAGCTGTATGAGAAAATTGAATCATGCGACAACTTCTCCGCAAAGCCAGATATTTAGTGATGTGTAACCGAATTGCTTTTTCTGAAATGGTGTCTTCTGGAAAAATCCTTTTTTTAAATTAAGAAAAAAAAGAGCAAAAAGCTTCTTAAGATTTCTTAGCAATAACCAAACTTCTTTCTGCTGCTCTGATAATGAGTCTTCATCTTTTTTGGGAAGAAGCATCTGCTAAGAAAAAAGACTCGATTTATCTCTGCTGATGGCCAGTTATCACCTCAGATATTTTAATGGATACTTTCAGGAATCAACCTGAGCAAAACTCCACTGGCAGATGCCAGGAGATAGCATCTTTCAGCTCATTTTAAGGTGTACTCCTCAGTATACTGGCATTCCTTCAGGGCTGGAGGATTTTAAAGTCAACCCACAGGTTAGCAGGAATTTTAAGAAAAAGTCATAATAAAAGACTTGGTGAATCTTCTCCCATCTACAGGCACAAAAAAAATGTCTGCCCATTACTCTGCCCCACAGATGTTTACACAGATTGCAGAAAAAGAGGATAATGGTGCTAAGAATTAGAGCAGTGGTGGCTCAGTGCTGCCCACCCACCTACGTGCATGCCAGTTCTGCAGGGGGCCGAGACTGATACAGCTGTAGCATTCCAGGGCTGAATATAGCTGCAATAACACTGAAAGGAAAATAAAATGCCGTGTTGTTTCACTCAAAGCTGCCTGCTGTCTCCTGAGGTCCTGTAATCAGCTGCTGGGTGAGGGATAAGTCATCCATTAACTGTGCCTGTCTGGAATGCTAGATGATCTCAGTTATCAGCAGGGGAATAAATCACTTTCTGTATCAAATTGCACTGCTGTTCAACATTTTTGTACTAAGAAAAAAAGTCCCACCCACCACATGCTGTGAGATCCAGAATGTTGTTCTAAAATACTGCGAATGTGAAAAAGGGGAAGCCTATCAACTCTTCTGGTTCTACTTCAGCTAAAGCTACGTTGTTTTTAAAGTGCTTCAAATAATTGCCAATCTTCCCACAAATTCCAAGCACAGCCTCAGAGAAGATGGAGAATTGGCAGGTCTAAAAAGATTTCTCAAAATCCTTCCCCCTCATGAAATATCGCATTACAGCTCTTGACTACAGTTCTCTGTCAATTTCACATTATTCCTTCCTTTTCTGAGGGATAAGAGGTGCCTGCCAGAGTTGCCACAACTGTAAATTGGTCTTTGCTTTTGTTTTCATCCATTTCCATTTACAGTGAAGATAAAAGCACTCAGTACCTACCTGCTTTACTGAGCCTAAGGATATCTCATTGAAGTAGATATTGATAGAAAAATTATGAGGATAGACAATGTGAAAAATAGGTAATTCTGTACTGAAGTCATGTTGCAAGTTTCCTCAGCATCCAAAGACAGCAATTGCACAGCTTCTCTGGATTAAATGTAAAACAGCTGTTGCTGGAGTAAGGACAGCTTTCAAAGTCTACACAGGCTTCAAATATTGGAGCACAAAGACCTCACCTCAGTTTTTGGTTGCAAAGGAAAGAGAACCTAGCTCTCTTGCTGAAACCTGAGCAGAAAAATGCTGGAAGTCTATTGTTATGTTGAGCTTGACTTCATACTCACTGCGTAGTCACAGATTTTGGCCCTTAAAGACCCACAGCTATGCACATATATTTTAGGGGAGTGCAGTCCAAACTAAGGAAGGCAGTCTGGGCTGTTGCCAGGGATACTCAGGCTGCTTTTACTTCAGTCCTGGCTGACTGCCTGCAGCCAAGTTGGCTCCTCTGGTGAATTGCTAGCAAGCTGCTCTTTTAATTTTTGTTCCTTTTTTTTAAGAAGTTGAGGGGAGCTTAGTGAGGAACCTGTCTCAGCTAGCACACAAAGGGGTTAGAACCCTCCGTCTCCCCCACAGCATTTAGCAGCAAGCCCCCATCCAGAAGACTGGGAGCAGCTGGGCACAAAGCCCACTGTGGGCTGTTGTAAAAAGGAGGCTTCACGATGAGGGACAGAAACAACACTGCAGTGTTTCTGAGCTCCCATGGCAGCTCTTCCAGGGTTTGTCCCCCCTAAAGCCCCACCACACAGCTCTCCACAGCCACAATGCTAGTCCATTGCTGCTCTGCGTAAGGGGTGATAGCTAGGGTGCATATCATCCTGAATTTCAGATATCACCCTCCCTTCTGACAGCAATCAGGACAAAGGATAATGCATCCATCCAAAAATCACAGGAAACTGTTGCAAAAGATGTGCAGTTTCTCATTTCTCCAGTGTGTAGGTAAGGACAGAAAAAGGATCACAATTTCATCACAGCTGGAGGGAATACAACATCAATCTGCTCACTCTCACTGCTATTGTATTCAGAAAAAGCAAAGAGAAATGTTCTTCACACTTGCTTCATCCCTCGAGTCTTTTACAATGATGTCATGCCTGGATGATGTCAAATTAATTTTCATATACAATTTATGGAAAATATGTGGGCTGGTATAGCATAACGTGCAGTCTTATTTGCTGGCATGCATGTGTGTGTATAAAATGCAGTGGATGGATACAAAGGAGGCTTTCAACAGTGCTTGTCTGTGAGTAATTTCTGTACACTACAAAAATTTGTCTACAAATCCCTATATAAGCATCATTTTGTCTGTTAAAAATCAAGTCAATAAATAAATAAGCAATTCAGCAATTGAGTGGATAATACAAAAGCTGATAGAACTAAGACAACACTTAAGATAACGAACTTGCTTGAATGTCTGCACACAATCTAACCCTTTAAAGAAAGCACTTGGTACACAGTATATACGTTTCTTGAGATCTGGAACAGCACAATGCCAAAAGATATTAACTTCCTGAGAAACCAACAAACACTTCAACCAGGCAAATGGCAAACAACAGTCTATTTGGCTAGAATTACCTTTGGTAAACTACCCTCCTTCCTTCTGAGACTGCTTCAGTGCAGCAATAAAGTGTCGCACAGAAAACACTGAGATATCTCTTTGGATATTTCTAAAGAACTTATTTGCACGCTTCAGCCAAGATAATCTTGTCTGTCAGTGTCTTATCTGATATCTGAGATAATTCTGATGAGAGATATATTCCTACAGTTGACTGAGTGCAGATATTCTGTGACACTGCATAATACTGAAGAGAACTGCCTTTGCGTATAAGAGACCAGATCTCTCCCTCCATGAATCCAGTTGTAAGCTTGGGCTTGCTAGTGTAGCAGAGAATAAAATACACCTTTTTCAGTCAGTGTTACAACTGGACTCCTTCTCTTTTGGTTCCTTCTAAAGGTGTAATCAGTCAAACCTTGTTGGTAATATACGTTCTATAGTTAGCTTCTGTCCATTTAAAACAATTACAACTTCCAACTACACTGATTTCTATTTTCAAAAACTGAATTGGCAACATTATTGTAGTGCTGTTGCCAGCCAAATGAATTTAGATGCTCTTTCATTGCATTTATTTTCATTTCAGTTGCTCCCTTTCGCAGTCTTTAGCCACTTGCCACTAATGCCTCACCACATGTTTATTCTCAGTAATATATTCAGTGATTTGACATTCAGAATCTCGTTTGAAATTTCAAAGCTCAAGATGGGTCAACAATTTCATTGTAAATCCACAGTCTACAGGATTTCCAACAACAGGAAGAATTACTCATTTGTCACAATTCTCAGCAAAAGATAGTTTTCAACATCCCACTACCTCTTCCGTTGATTTCAAAGGGAAAAGGTAACAACACATAGCTGCAACTAAAAGCCTGCAACACTAAAACAGCTATGGCAAAAAATCAGTTTTGCAGACTCAAAGTATATTCGAATCACATATTGTAAAAATATTTTAATTTCAGTGCAGTGGTCCCCAAATGGTGGTTCACACAGCACTCACTGATGACATTGACTTGTTCTACTCCCCAGTTTTATAGAACTTCATAGAATCATAGAATATCCTGAGTTGGAAGAGACCCACAAGGCTCATCAAAGTCCAACACTAAGCCCTGCACACGACAGCCCCAAGAATCACATTGTGTGCCTGAGAGCATTGTCCAAACGCTTCTTGAACTCCGTCAGGCTTGGTGCTGTGACCACTGTCCTGGGGAGCCTGTTCCAGTGCCCAGCTACCCTCTGGGTGAAAAACTTAGGTAGAGTTCTTTAATACAAATAAAATCATTAAGCCTCCAGGAACAGTTAGAAATCCACAGTCTGCTTTGCTATCTCTGCTTAGATTGCACTGTAATAAAAATGTAAAGGAAATGGAAACCATGAGCATCAAAGAACCATACAGTGCTGGAGGTTTGTGGCAATGGATGTCTGTCTGGAGTAGCAGAGAGCTGAGTAACAAGAGAGCACACGTGAATGAGTTGAGAGAGCTGGTGTCACAGGCAGGATAACTTCAAAAAGTAGGAGTAGGGGCCTGGAGAGAAACAAGAAGGATCCGGAATGACAGGGAGAGGAAATTTAAAGACAAGATCTTCAATTTTTAAAACTTGAGATAGAGTATTTACTGACAAAGATCTGAACAGAAGGAAAGAAGATTTGTATTTTTTGGAGAAGCTGAAGTTTCAAAAATATTTTCACTGATACATGTATGTTTAGGCTAAGACAAAATTACATTTGGCATGGCAGGAGGGGAGAGGGACAACAATGTATAAGTGACGATCAGATCAGGGTGCCCATATGACAAATTCCTGACTTTTGTGTGCCCTTTGGGGGAGTGACAGGAGCTTTTCTGTCTTATATGTCTTATATGTTCCACATATATCAAAACAGATAATAAGAGTTACCTTATTCAGTACAGTATTCTGCTCCATGCCAGGAAAAGATAGCCTACAATGATAATGACTCAAGCTAAAATGTCTCTCTTGTGCACATGAATATTTACAATCACATTTTTACATTTCATGACATAATTTATAGTGATGAAATTTGAAATCCTATGCCACTTTAAATATACTCTGCTGAAACTTTAACTCCTCAGTCCACATGTTATATGTAAATAAATATACACACAGTGCTAGCTGACCACCAAATGTTCATACTGAACAATGTGCAAAGACACAACTACAGATATCTCCCTCTCTTATCCTCCTCCTCAAACCCCCAAAAATTATGTTAAAGAAAGCAAAGACTATAGAGACCATATTCCAAACACTTGCAGTGAAAGACTAAGAGAGCAAACACCAGAACAGGAACAACCCCTCCTTGCCCATAATTCTCCCCTGTCAATACTAGAAACTGTCTAAATTGTTCTTCAAGAAAAATATTATGTTTTGACTACATGCTAGATATGTCAAAAGGAAAAAAAAACACTGAGGTAGTTATGGCCAACCAAAAATGGCCCTTTCAAACAACAGAACGGAAAACAAGGTCAACTTAGGTAGAGATGTTACATGTAGCCACAAACAACACGTTCACATATGAGTGTAGATATGGCCCAAACATGGCAAGTCAAACACTTGGAACAGCTTTTTGTAACTTCTTTCCAATGCTAGTTAATGCTTTTGCTACAATGGGCGATCAGCGTTTTACCAGCACAGGTGCAGCCACCAAGATACAGCTTTCTTGGACTGAAAGTGCATCACAAAACTTCTCTGAATAAAACATTAAAATTTACCTCACATTAGCACCCTGTTCCCTCAGGTTACCTTTTTGCTCACTTTTAATCTATTCCATGTCAGTTATATGGCAGGAAATTAGAACCTTTGGAGGAGGCATCAGAAAGAAGAGGAAATGATACAGTACTAAAATAAACTTCTGAAGTGTCAAAAAAATTACAGCATTTGAATAAAGAACCGGCTCAAAAACTGAATTAAAATGAAGTTTTAGAGTGAATCTAAGAAACCAAAATAACGCTTAAAAAGAAAAATGTTCATCTATATTTATCCAGGATGCTTGCCAAATTTGTATCCACACAGAAGCACACAGAGTATAATTATACCACTGGCAGGCAAAAACTCAAAATGAAGCTGCTGGCAGATATATTTGAACCGGAACGCTTCTGCAATAATAGCTCATCTAAGTTTCATTATTTTATAGGTCTTCAGAGAAACTGGAATATTCAGTCTCTCCAGGAGGGACTCACTCTCTCTGTTCCACTCCACGTGTGAAAAGAACAGCATGGGAAGGAATAATTTGGAGGAGGGGCAAAGGGTAATGAGAAGGGAGAGGAAATGGTTTAAAACAAAATGGGTAGACTTGCAACATTTAAAAAAACAATTCTTGAGCACTCCAAAATGCCAGTGGAAGCATACTTCAGATCTCTGGTTCTCTGTATGTCTGTGTTGTCTGCATACAATAGATAAGAGTAAGAAGTACATGATTTGAGTTCCAACCAAACAGCCACAAAGTCAGTGAAGTAAAACAAACGTAATGGTTTTGACCTTTATGAGGAAGATCAAAGTCCAGAGTCACCCACTTGCAAAAAATTTACACAAAACCCTTCTTGTCTGGAGTTGCTCAAAGTCTAAAAACAATCAGACCACTGAGGCATGGTGACTTACAAATCAAAGCACAGAAACCGAGGGACTGGTGTGAGGGAGGTAGAACAGCAAATACAATACAACTTCTGGTCTGAAATCAAACACTCAGGCACTAGGAGAGCAGAGGAGCTGCATTTACCTTGTGTGGCTGTTGGATGAGAGGCTTTCCCAGGGCTGCACACTGCAGCCAGTGACTGCATAGGCTCCCCCGCAGCTCCCATCTAGTTTCATTAGCAAGGCTTTTGCTGCATTCTCAGCTGTCTTCCTGCAGTCATGAGCTCTCTTAAGCATCTGTGTGATGTTTTCATCACCTGTCTGGTCTCCTAGTTTTCAAGCAAAAAATCTGTTTCAGAGCTTTGAAGAAGGTGATAGAAGTTAAAGCAAGAATAGAGATCCTTCTACACGCTCTTAGTTTATACAAAAACTATGAAAATACATTACCAATATGTGAGCTAAAAGCAACTTCACTTCTGTAGTAACTGGGCTACTGACCTGGAACGCACTTTTGTCCCAGTCACAAGCTCCAGGTATTTTTTGTTCCATGTACATGTCTTAAGTGATGTATTATTTTAGCCAGTTTCTCTGTTTGTAAGGGTCTGCACTGTGCACTAAGATTAGGCTCAAACGCTCGAATTATTAACACACTGAAAAAGCCTCAGCCTAAATGACAACTCTTTCTCCAATCAGTGCAGTGCTGTTCCACAGTGTGGTCATTTCCAGGGCTTCTTCTCAAAAACACCTTGACCTCAAGCCTAATGGTTTGCCAGAACACCTTCTTACAGGTTACCTTGCCAGCTGGAAGAATTGCCTTACTGCCTAAAAGCAGCCTTTCAGAGTTTACAGCCATGCATATTAAGCCAAAAGAAAACTAGCAATGGTGTTTATTAATTTGCTATAATTTCCAGTGGTTATACAGCACATGTGTAGCTGGTAAGACAGCCCTTCAGCAGAAGCAGGACTGAACCACCACTGTCACTACTCCTACAGTCCTCCGGCTGCCATCAAGTCATTAAAGTAAGACACGCTATCGGCTAAACAGAAAATCTACAAATATATTTGTAAATTAAAGGTACAATATACTCATATTTTAAAAAACACAATCCAAATATGTCAGAGATTAAAAAAAAAAACACTTTGCTCTTTGTCAGATTTTCATTTCATCCTTGTTTGAGCCAAAGACCAATTACCCATACTTCACACTTGCTAAGTGAAGTGCATGCACTAGAAAGAACATTAATGAGGAAGAAGGAAGGGTGAACTTTAAGAGCAGTTAGATATGCTCAGATCTAAGTGATGCAACTCCCATGAATTTTCCACTCACAGATGTTGATATAAAACTTGACTGATCTTCAAACCAAAACTCTGTTATTTTATCTAGGTGTGTTAATCAAATTAAAGGTACAAAACCCATATACAACTTCCTCCAAGCTGTGTTAGGTAATGGGAAATTTGCACTATTTCTTTCTCAGGGCTGTAACTGGTAATACCATAATTAAGAGCTGTAGACAGATACCTACACAAAAACTAAACTACAGTTTCTTTCGTAAAATGCAGATGAAACCCTACTGAAACCCAAAGTATTTCTCTCTTCAAAAATTTCTTTCTGCCTCCTACATGAACAGAAAACCCAAGTCTAAATTTACTTTTGCTGCTCACTGATCTCTACCAGCAGGGAAAAGCCCCACAGTGCATTGTGGAGAAGAATGACCAGAGTTTGGAAGAAAAGTGGAAGAAAATCTCAGACATCTCCTTTACTTTTTGGTGCACTGCACACGCTGCACAGGTGAAACGGGTACACAAAGGCCTGCATTGAGCACTGCGGGAGATACAAAGTAAGGGGCATGGAGAGCAGCACAGTGACTGCAGGCTGAGTGCATCCAGTCATCTGAAACAAGAGACCGACCATGTCAGTCCTGTGGCTCTAAAACCAGATGGTCACTCTGTGTCTAGAAGTTTTCCATTTACATTTCAGTGATTCCTGAGAAGCTACTGCCATTAGCCCACTGGGCAGTAACTATGCCCCAGGACGGCATGAAGGGTTATTATTCTCTCTCTGAAGGTTTCCCTTCTTTCTGCTTTAAGATTATTGTGGCTGCTTTCTCCTATCAATGGAAGGAATGGGAAAGATTTAACTTTCATCCTGTAAACATGTCTTTCTATCAGAAAAGTGGAGCCAGCAGCAATGTCAAGCTCCACACACTTCTGAACTGTACTGAACCTATGGTAGTGGCTTGTTCCACTTCTTAGCAAGCAGCATATTAAAAAACAACACTTAGCCATAAGATTAACTAACCACAAAATAAGAGAAATCCAGAATATACAGGCTAATATCCCTGACAGTAGAGTAAAACAGAAGATAGAACATTTAAAAATTTAAGAGCAAAGGTAAAATGAGTGGGATGTGAAAAATTATGGTTTATTTTTTATGCTATCACAGTATTGTCTTAATCCCATTTTTTCATAAACTATACTCAGTTTCTGGGGGGTCAGTCTTACTGCTTCAAACAGAATCCACACTTGCAGTTACCACAGCTGTGTGGCCCTAAGCCACATATGCCCACAAGTATTGTTTAATTATTCCACTCTGTACAGTTGCATGCCTGTAGCAGTCTCACCCCTGCTAGGCATCCCCTTGTGATAGCATCCACTGGTGATTTTAAATTGTTCTCTTTTCCTTTTCCTTTGTTTTTGGGGTTTGTAAAATAATTTAATTAAAAACAAGAAAAGACCAGAGAGCATTCTTGAGTAATGGGTCATGAGATGATTCACCATTGCAACCAACTCTAATGCTAACTGACATGCAAAAGAAAAAATTAAATGAAGTGATTCATTGACATCTTACCAACAGAACCAACACCTGCAGCTCTGAACTGCCCAAGAATAAGACTCTGCTCACTTTCTGCCAATGCCAACAGCAGTTCATACGCTTCTATGCATTGTTCACTGAAAGAGAAAACAAACTACAGAAAACAAAAATCACACAAAATATCACCCATAATTTAGAAAGGAAGAATACCTGCAAGAGCAACAACAACAACCACAGAGGTATGTATGATTCCCTACTACTTGTCTAACAGCAGGGATATTAGATAACATAATACATATATCTCCTATCACAGGTATTCAACATTCTCTCCTTCCTTATGACAGTGCCAGGTTGACCTCAAGTAACGTAACAAGATAAAAGGGAAGAGAATGACCTGATGTGAAGGAAGTTCCAGAAGCATGTTTGAAACACCAGTACAAATGGTGGTCAACATGATCCCTTTGTGAAACTTTTCCCAGACCTTCTTACTATACAAAATACAGCATTCTATACTCTACAAGATAATTGCAGTACACAGACTGTAGTAAGAAGTAAAGAAGACACATGAAAAATACTTCTTGATCTGTCCTGGCTGTAAGATTTTCTTCCTTACAACAAAACAGCTTCCAGCTACAGTTGTGAGTCACTCATTCATGCTGCCTTCTAACAGTTTTTTTGAAAAAATATATACTAGTATACCTATTTGCAATTTAGATTTCCTAGTAATTTGCTCAAGGCTGATGGTAAGAAAACACATTTTTTTTAAAGGCACACAATTTGTCTTAAGACCAGAACTGCCTGTTCCAAATTAGTTGTAGCTGAAGGTGTTAAATGACATCCACCTTTTTACATATAGTTTGAAGCAAATTTAGATACTTATTAGCAAATACTAAGCAATTAATCCACAATTCCAACTGATGTGATACAAAGTCATTCTGAATTATGTGGAGTACAACACTATTGTTTGGCCCACTGGTCTTGTGAAAGGTGCCTAACACAGAGAACCTATATCTTAAGACCAGATTCAGCAGAGATAGTCTGAGCCTACGCACAATCATTAATTCAAATGTTAATTCAGTATTTAAAAATGAAGAGATAAATCTGCATATTTCTTTTAGATGCTGGAGAACTAGACTTGAAATACAGTGTATCAGTAACTTCAGTTCAGTAGTCTGCCAAGTAGTTTAACTAAAGGGACTTTTTTTCACGAAGGAAACAAAAAGAAACAGTATTATTATGGCACACCAACAACTTCACTCTGGAAAGCTTCTGTCAAGTTTTGCCTTGGCTCCCTCTTTTTCTGAGATACTCTCTGTGTAGGCACATACCTGTACTGCAACGCCAGCCTGAGGGCCGTGGCGTTGGACTCATACTTCCCAACAAGCATGCTCATCCTCTCAGCATTGCTCTTGCACTCTTCCAGTGTTATTGTCAGTAAGTCATTCTGGGATTTCAGGTGTTCAATACGGCTGTAGAAAAGGAAGTAATTTGCAACCTTCAAGCTTAACTTACAGTCAGTGATCTGAAAATTCTAGAACAACCATAATTTAAAACAACAAAAACCACTTGGTCTACACATTTTATTTTTTTTTAAATGAAGACTGTTAACTCCATCAGTTTTGTATCCCTTTATCAAGAGCCAAGAGGATAGAAATTTCTCTTAGTACAGCCTCTTCTTCTTTTCACCTTCCCATAAAGCATAATCACAACCCTGTGCAACAGCAGCAAGCAGAAGGTTATACCCTTTTTTGTTAGGGTAAAAGACTGCATAGGACACTTTCATATCAACCTTTTGCTCAATTTTTCTGCCTCAATTCCTCACTTCCTGCTGCCACATTTGCTTCTTGTTTTAAGTGGCATATTCACTAGTGCAATTGGGGGGGTGTGTAGGGATCATGCAGTTGCATAAATGCCTCCTTTCTTTGGAAAATCCAGAATAATCACCTGAAGTCATGGTTTAGTTGTGATTAGAGAGGGAACTTCCAAACTATGAATGAGGTTTCAGTGAGGCACAGTAATCTCCAAATGTTCTGGCAACAGTGGAACAGAAGCTACCTTGTAATACTCTTCTCAATAAGGCTAACTCTGAATATGAAAATGAAGCTTCAGAATATAACTATTACTGTTTATTCTCTGTGCCAATAACTGCACTACACATCAGTGTACTGTGCCTAAATGCAAAAGGTGGACATATGCCAAAAACAGGCAAAAAATTTCAAAACTTGGACAAGTAGCTAATGAAGAAATCAGTGGCATGCAGGACTCTAAAATCACTGACTTCCTAATAAAGAAGAATGAGAATGGCTAGTATACCCTTTATTCAGTGATCAGAATAAAGTCCTGACTTTCAGATGCTTCACCTTCTGTACCTTCTTTTGACACCTTCTATAAGGATACATGCTGTCAAAGCATAATTGTGCAGTGTACAGAAAAGAGAAAAGAAGAAGAAGAAGGAAACAAAGATCGCATTTTGCAAGACTACAAAAACATGAGCTATAAATAAAAGAGATATTTTACTGATCAGATTAAATTTGAGGTGGCTGTGGGGAAGAGAGAACTTGGCCAGAAAGACGATTCTCATGTTTCTGATCCACCGTTTTGATCTTTATGTGCCAAAAAAAGACATGGTTTTGATAGAGCTTATTGAAGGATAACACCACCAATATTTTAACTACAACCAGAAAGCTGCAATCACTCTTCTGCAGACAGAAATCTATTTACTGGTATATATGCCACACCACCACATGAATACATTTATGGATACAGTCAATGCGATTGTTCTGTTTCTTCAGGACAAAACAATCAAGTTAATTCTAGAATGAGCGAGACTATGTTATGAGAATCCCTATTTCTATCAGTGGTGTGTCTAATGAAAAAAGATGCCATGACTATTTGGTTACCCATACAGAGGGACACTCCACAGTACAAACTGTCACAGGTGAAGGTGCTGGGCTGATCTAATAACACACAACCAAACCGTCATACTCACGGAAAGAATCCTTTGCATATCTTCTCTTCAGCACCTACATTCTATGTTTATCTGCAACTGCCACAGTTGAGCTTGGACTGATGTTCAAAAAGAATAAAAATGCAGTAACTTTATCAAAGCTAATAGAAGGCAACACATGTGAGCATTATCTAACTTTCCACCTTACCTATTTAATCTCTCTGTCTCCACTTCAAATTCTCGAATTTTACTTTCAGAGATAGCAGATCCATGTGAATAGAGAGTCTGGAAGATTTCCTGGATGTTTGAGCAGTCTTGGAGGGAATGTGCCAAATGTTCAGCCACAGTACTAGACACCTGCACAGGGCAGTTAATAGATTATTGTGAATAGATAACCACTGGATTTCTCCCAAAAGCACTCTGCATTGTACTCACTTCAAGGCATTCATTATTCGGTTTTTGTTATGAATTTTACATTGAATAGAATATTTACAAGATTCCACTTTTAGAAGCCATTTTGTTTTAAAATTCTACTAACCAAGGGTGAAGGCCACTATTTCATCATACATTTAAAAAGCCTACTATGCAAGTTATTTATGTTCTTGAAAGCTTAGCAAAAGGTTAGAGCCAAGTTCTTCAGTAAAACAAATACTAACACACAGCACCAGCAGCGTTATTGATTTACATTGGCATTTCAAAGCAGAACCCAGTTCACTGTTGAAAGTTGTGAAATGCAACTGGAGAGTCTTCTTGAAAAATATTTTGGAGGAAATGACTCCTCTTGAAGTCACTCAGAGAATGATTTCTAGCCACTAGTTAGGAGAAAATGAGATCTTAATACTAGGTGAAATATTCTTTGCTGAAATATTTTCCTCTATATAACTTTTAAAATTCTTTAAAGTTCTTTAAAGTATTTTCAGTCAGTCCATATATTAATTTATTAAGAAAGCAATGCTTCTTTTATTGGAACACAAGTCATCTTCAGAAGGTATCATGCATGCATATAATTATTAGTTCTTACCCCTATGCTGCTGATTTCTGATCCTAAGACAGGTCTATCAGATGATGAAGACTCTGATCTTGTCTTTGACAACTTCACTCTTTCAGCAATCTGCAAGTCGGAATGCTTCACAGGTTACACAGCAATAAAGTTCATGAAGTTTACACAAAATGCATCTGTGCTCTAGTTACACTTGCAAAACTGAAGTAAACTACTATAAAATTGACCCCTGTGCTGTAACTGAGAGAACTATAATCATTAACACTTAATTCGTTCCCACAGTTCAAGTTCACAGACCTGCTTAGGAAACATTCTGCGGATTCTAGATACCTCTCAGTTATTCCCGCATAGAGCAAAATGAGACCTGCTTTCCCCAGATAATGAGAAGGGTTACTGAAACACACAAGAGCTCACCTTGGCAATGGGAATGTCGTTGCTGCTGCTGCTGGTGCTCAGCTCTCCCGTGCTGGGGTTGATGGGTCGATTGGCAGAAGTGAGACGGTTGGGGCTGGATGGGCCCGTTGCCTGCACGCTCTGCAAACGTGTCTGAAGCTCTCGAACCTACAGTAAAACACAGCATTCTTATTCTCCCACTTATATGGTTTAAATAGTTTGGAGATTTTTCTCATTGTCTAACCAAGTTTAATTGCTCCTTGTTTCAGCACAGAAGTTATATTTTTGTACCCTGGTGGCTGTGAAGTTTTCATGTGAGGAGCAGATGAGTGGAGGTTATTTAAAAATTCTATTGTTTTCAGCTTTTAAAAACTATTTGCAATATGGAAATAGGCAGATATAATACTGTAGAGTAATTACTCAAAATTTCAGCTTGTTTTATTTATCCCCTTCAGTGCAGCTGTACTGTATGTATAGAAATTATTCTCTCTGGGGTAAAGCTAATGTTCCAACCTAAGATAATGATGCCTAAACAAATCCAGTGGCACTCCTGCTGGTAATGGAAAACTCCAGTTGAAAAAAACCCTCTTGACATCAATAAATCAGAGGATGATCTTGTCATATATAAAGACATTCATACATTAATCATGCTTTAAAAAGTACAGTTAAGTAAAGCTACCATACAATGAATGATGTACAGACAAAAAAACCCCAGCAAAGTACCCAAACAACAGCCTGCAGAAGCTCTTTGTAAACACACACTGCAAACACTGCATGGTCCTCATCACATATCAGATACTTGCAGAACTGATGTCAAAAGATTTTCAGTACTGCAGGGTTAAAAAAAAAAGAAAGATCTGCAGGAGCCAAACTATAGCTGAGCTAAAGATTATAGTGTTTACATTGGAATAGTTCCTAACAGTCAAAGAATAAATTGTCTGCTTAACACAACAATTATGCCACAAGGTAAAGTGATAGAGCTCATTTTTCCCACAGATTTCAAACACAGAGCATGAGATGAAAGAAGGGGCAGGAAACAATCTGAAGAGGAAATTCCCCTGCAAACAGTTTTCCTTCAATATGCAGGTTTCTGTGCTGATTTTGATGGAACAGTCCCTCTGCAAAACAGAGCTGGTGAAATTTTAACTTAAGTCCAATAAAATAAAAGTTCAGACCATTTGATCCCCCTGTACATAGCATGAAATACAACTTCGGTTCCTACTGTGTAAAACAAGGTGGGATTTTATACTAAATACAATACATTTATACAAATAAATGATTAAGCACGCAGAAATCCCTTAGTCAAAAAATATGCAAGTGACATTAAAGCTTGGGCTTTCTTCCACTGCAGGTGTGCATGGACAGTGGGTGCACATGGACAGTGTTCAATCAATCTCTGCTTGAAGCAGCAGCAGTTGTGTATTCTCTGCACAACATAAACAAATCTCAAAACCTACTGCACTGAGGAAAGAGTTAAAGTTGAAACACTCTCCAGTCACCAAAGCAGTATCTTATGCCTCCTACAATCCTTTACCACCTGCTTCTACTCCCTCAAGAGTATCCCTGCCTCTCTCCCTCTGTTGAAAGCAAACTGAAGGTTAGGCTGCCTGAGCACTTACTGTCAAAAAAAATTTTAGGTATTTGCAAATTACAAAAAAAAAAAAAAAAAAAAAAAAAAAAAAAAAAAAAAAAAAAAAAAGGAAAAAACCCCTGTGTGTTTTACATAAAAGAGTGCAACAACGGCATGCTGCTAATAAAAAGCTGTAGGTGGCAAGAACAAAAGCACAAGCACACAAAGCCTAACTGCACTCACAAGTTTCCTGTTCAGTTGTGGAGGAGTGTTACATCTTAACCAATATGAATGCAAACAAATGAAGTACACAAAACCTCAGATCAAATCCCCAGTGTTTAAAGGAGCTTGCTGAAAAATGGATATGGGTGCTTGACCCAGAATTATACAGCTTAGCTGCAGTTATATCATGAAGTTCACTGAGCAGTGTATAAAGTGCATATTTATAGTAAGTATCTTCTACATATTTGCAGCTGAGGCCTCCTTTGTTCATACAGGCATATATAATTTCAACATAGGTACAGCGGCACTAATGCAAACCTTAAGGACAGAAGTGCTCCACTGATGCAAACCAATCATTTCAGCCTGTTGATATGCATAAAGCTGAAATTAACCATGCAAGCATATTTTTGCTTGCAGATGTGGAACGTCAGTGCAGATAGGATTTGTACTGTGGCATTAACACTGAAAAAAAAAAAAAAGAAGAAGCAACCCCAAAACTTCACTAAATTAGAATTACTATTTATTAGTATTTCTTTTAACCCAGGCTGTTCCAAACTAAATTCCACAAGTGCTTAAGCTACAACATTGTTTAAAAGCAAACAAACAGAAAGACCACTACAGATGTATTCTTTGTAAAATCAAATCCTCATCTCAACGTCTGATTTAAAAATTGCTACAATATTCACCTATGCCCAGAAGCTAGTCCTGGACAATTTCAGTCCAAAAGCAAAAAACATCCTAAATTTAAGTGCAATCAGGAAAGAGAGCATTAAAGTTGTTTAAATCCTAAGCATGCATTGACTCTAAAGTTTAAAACTTCCTTGTGCAAAGACACTATTGTACAAAAATTTAATGCAGATAGGTTTCCTTTAGTCTATGTTTTATTAGTGAGCAGCAACTATTGGCCATGACTACAAAGCCAATTATTCTTAAGGACCTGTAAAACACCAACAACAGGAAGAAAAATGAACACAGCTAAGGTCACATGCAAAGATTTCTCAGGAGAGCATTTCTAAAAGAAAACTCAGAGCACAGCACAGTCATTAATCTATGCAACTCACTGCTTTAATATTGTATCATAGAAGCAACTACATCTTAAAGAAGCTGCCTGCTCATGTATACTTCTTGATGTGTTGATTCAGGCCCCTATTTCTGAAATTTCATGCTGAATTGCTTGCTATAAATAACTGCACAAACTTCAGCAATGCTAAGTACTGGATGGTAATTCTGAGAGAATAACAGGGCAAGATTGACCTGTAAAATCACCAGTCTCAGAATTCACACATGCACCAAGCCAGAATCTCATGACTGTGCTGCCCACCCACCACACTGTCCAGAGACACCTTAAGTAACTATTTCTGGTCACCAAAACCTCCACTGTAAATAGATGCAGCATCTCCTTAGAAAGTACTTTTCCACACTTGTAGCAATTCTAAAGCAAAAATTAAAAATGACCAAAGAACAGGATTAAAAAAACCCAAAACCCAAAAAAACTCAGACTTCAGAAGAGTTAGTCTCTTCTCTGGATTGGTGAACACATGAGTTATGTAAAGACTAGTTTTAAAAGCATGATTGAAAATTGTCTGATCCTCCATACTCCGTACTTCTAACACTCTTTAGTGTCATTACCAATGTAATATACATTATTCTGAGGATTATGTTAGTTAGTAGAATGAAGGTAACTGCAGTACTGCATATGAGACACAATAAACACCTGGAAATGGGAGAGAGAAGAAGGGAATATTTTACAGGAAATGGATGCCAAAATTAGCAAAATCTGATGGGTAAAAACAAGTATAGAAACAAACCCAAAGAAGTTCCACTGAAAGACAGAAAAAGAGAGAAATAACAAGGAAGGATTTAAAGAAAAATTTTTGGAGTCCTTGCATTATACTAGTTTAAAGATGGAAACATCTAGAAGGGTATGGAAATTGCCATGGACTCTCAAAGCTCTAAATTGAGATGGAAATAGACTGAGAGGCAGATATAATTACATGATCAGAAAAAAAAGGAGTAGCGAATGGAGGGGGAAAGGAGAAATCCATGGAAACATCTGTGAAATCCAGAATTAAAAAAAGGAAAGAGCAAATATCTTCTAAAAAGGAAAGAGCAAATATCTTCTAAACAGCTGCAGCAAGTCCAAGGAATTACAGAAATAAAGAAGTGCTGGAAACTTAGAAAGAGCAGGAGCAGGGTCCTTAAGTGAGACACAAGGCAACAGAGCCATTATACTTCGGACCAAAGGACAGCCTAGCTACCAAGAGAAGTCAGGAGCAAACAAATTTTCTCAAGTTATTAATAAGGATGTAAGTAACTGGAAACTTTATCAATATTTGATGTTTAGCAATTGAACCAATTGCTTAGCTGTGCTTCTCATTTTTTTCCCCTTTCAATTCTGAGAATTGGAGTAGGAAATTAAGCATAATTTCTTGTGCATACCTTAAGAACTAAATAAAAGGACAGCAAGAGTAGACAAGAAAAGAGGCTGACACATTACAGCAATGCTGGATTTATGAAAGACTTTGTAAGTTATTAACAGGCATCACAGACATGTTTGCAGAAATGCATCATGGGTTATAGGAAAATACTTCAGTGAAATATTGTCATTATCTGTAATCATGAATCTAAGAACATGTTTTCAGTCTTTGTATTTTACACATGCATACTCACAACTACATGATTGACTAACATATCCTAAATAAAAAACCAGAGCTACAAACTGCCTGCTTTTGTCACTGATTTCCACATTCAAAGGACACCTGCTCCTTTTGTTTCTAAGCTAGTTTCAAACAACATGCTTGTGACTCTTTTGCTTCTACCCTACTTGTGACCTCTTTCATCATGCAGTATCTTTGAACCCTTCAAGTAATAGCAATTTTTCCCCAGCATTTTAATACTACTTCATTTTTTCCCTGTTATACCTAGGAGGAAGATGAAGTACAACAAACCACAGGATGTGAACCTCTCCCCATTTTCTAATTTATTCATGCATACTGCAAATATGTGGAGGGAAAGATGTCAAACAAAACATCAGTGTAACAATTCATGCTGCTGTGAGTGGTGATGGCCCTTCCCAGCCAAAAGCACCCCTAACCTTTCATTTAGGCCTAGTGGTGATTATTTTTAGCCAGATAATTTTCAGTCTCTCTTATACCAGAGACCAGAACAAGCAAGGTCTGAATTCCTACAGATTGTCTGTTGTGGTTGACTGAGTACGATATAGAAGTCTTTCCTGGTATTTATAAGGGCCATCTCCTCAAGGAATTCTGTGGAGTTGGATGAGCTTAGACCTGCAGTTATCAGTTGAAAGGAGGCACTTGCAGAATCTCTGTCCTTTGCAGAGATGTCTGCTTTCAAGAAATGTATAAGAACTTAGCTGTCACTTGTGGACCCCTCTGGCAGATCTAAAAATCAATCTGCTGTTTGAACAATTACTTTGAGGAATGGAGAAAGGGAGTGACACACAGACACAACAAGCTGCAGGAGAACAGGAATGCTACTTATACACACAGCTTTTATATGCAGCAGGAGAAGCGCTCCTCTGCTTTTCACACCAACAGTTCCTCATGCAGAATGATCCAGGTGCTGCAACTCTATAAAGGATGCAAAGCAACAAAAACGAAGGATGTGGCAAGATGTGACATGGGAGGCGAAGGGTGAATTCGCTAAAAGCTCTGAGCACAACTGACATGTTCTGATCCAGGTCAGCACACAGAAACAAACACAGGTGAAGGCAGAAAGCATATCTCAGGCATTCTCTCATTTAATTTCAGATTAATCACTGAGCTTTTGCATACAAGCTTGGAAACAGGAGAAAGCTCTACTTCGTTAACACCTAGGTGGAGATAGTGTTGCATAAGCAAATACCATGCAACTGAAGGAGGTAGAGAATGGAAACAGCTTTTGGCTGCTACCTCAAGTTTCTGGTGCTCACCAAGAGAAAAGGAGACAGAACAATTCCAGGAGCACTTTAAACTCTGAAAGCAGATAATAATCTCTAAAGACCCATAAAATATCAGTGTTCTCTAGCACTCTGGAACAATACCTTCTGATTCTAATAGGAATGACAACAAAACAATGACAGTCCAACAGCTTGTGCCACCTTTGTGTCATCTGAGAACAGTGTGGGTTCAAGAACGCCTGCAAGTCCAAGGATCTGACTCCTACTGTGGTATGGATAGGTTTCAACTGCTCATGAAACCTACGTATTTTGGGAGAGCCCTCATGCTAAAATGAAGTTTCTTGGAGTAGGAGCAATGTAGGCAGCTGGAGGGATCACACAAAAAATGCCTCTTTTCTACTCCTGTGCAGATTATGTTTTCATTAAGGTCTTAGTTGAAGACAGCTTAGGAATCTGGTTTTGTTCTGGTCAGTTCAGTGAATTCAGCTGAGTTTGGAGCTACAGAGTAACTCTCACAACTAAAAGGATTTGATTAATTGAACAAGCCAACATATGACTTATGCAGAGAACAGTGTTCACAGACTTCCAGAGCTGGAACTGCTCTAACTTTAGACTTAGTTCTTCTGAACAGCCTCAGAGAAGCCTGAATGCTTCCCACACCCACTGCTTCTTATGCCAACTAGCTGCTTAGGACTGTGCTGAGGTACTACTCATCTGGCAACTTTCATGGGCAGTAATTAAAAAACACCAGTCAACCACAATTTTTACTTTGCAGTCATGATGGAGTTTATATGCTGTATCAGTGCTGAACGCTCAGGTGGATAAAAGGGCTTTTGTATAGGAACACAAATATTACTTTTTCTTCTACTATTTAAACCTGTTACTCCTTATAGCAGTTGTAAATAGTGCTGACCTGATTACAACCTTATTCTCATGTAATAATAATATTAATCCCATGAACTGGTACAGAAGTTCCCCAGCACCTTATCTGTATTACTGGATTCAGGATTATGATCAGCTGTGTGTAAGCAATTTCTAGGGCATTGAGTGGCTCAGACCTAAATAGATTTTATTTTTAATGTAGCAACATAATACAGAGGTAAAATAAACCTCTGCATTATGAAATCAGCTGCTACACTGCAGACAATTTACAGAAATAAGCAATTACCTCATTTACTAATGACCTGTGAGAAACAAACTCCAAATGTATGTTGTTTCTTAGCCACTGTTCCAGAGAGCAGCTCAATCTGTTAACTGAGTGCAGTAAATACATAATTAAATTAAATCTCCAACAAGCCTGAGAAAAACGTATCGAAAGCACTCTGCTTGATTACAGGCATTGGTCTGAAGGAACAGACCTATTGATCTGGTCAAATTCAAGCTTATCCACTTCACCCAATTTAATTTGAGAAGAACAATAACTAAATTTTAGCTGGATTTTCTTTCCCACTCTCCAGGGAAATAATCTGAAGCGATTCTTGAGTTCAGGTGGCATACAGAAAATATTTAATAGGTCAAAGAAAACATTTATTTTGTTGCCACTATGGACATTAAATTAAAAATGCAAATATGGTTTCCAGTGTGACAATTACGTAGTGTGCAGACAGGGTCATATGCCATGAACAAAATTCTCTGGTGGGGGGAATGAAGCAGTAGTTCTGCACATTCAGGATGATATTAACCCATATTTCAGTAAAGTCCTCTGTAGCTGCAAACTAAATGAAAACAACTGAAAAAAAACACACACAACCCTGCCAGCTGTGCCCAAATATTAAGGCTCTGTGGCAATTCAACATTACTGCCTTACCTACTGGGTAGGACATCTATCCAATCTGTCCAAGAAGAATTTCCTTAATTAAAGTAGAATGAACATTTAAATTGGCTTGCTACACCAAAGATAGCTCACAGTCTCTACTGAGCAGTTCCAGACTTACCCTCTGCAGGGTCAAAATATAATACATTTGTGTAGAGGTGCTAAGTCTAGGTCTAGAATAACTGCAGCTGTCTTAACTGGCCTTTTTTCCCTTTACTTTGGATAAAATCCTGAAGTAACTATCCTGGTTTTGACAGGTATCTCTGAATAATCATGCATGATTATTTTGAATAATATTTAATATTTTGAAGCTCCATTTTGAAAGTAGTCAGTAGCCTTACTTATTACTGTTTCTTCAGAAGCACAATCCTCTTTTCTCTTAGATACCTCACAGTCTAATTTCTGGGCTAATATAGCCACAAGTGGTTTATATTAATCTGTTCTTGCTCCAGTTTCATCCATAAGTTTGGAGAGCCATTACTCCCATTCTTACTTGCCTTCTCCAGCACTTATTAAGAGAAATCAAATTAAGATTTTGTTTTGCTAAGTTGAACAGGACAATCTCTTTTAAGTCCCTTCTCCAAGTACACTGCCCATTTCTCTCACCATCCTCACCATCTTTTTTTGGCAATTTAAACTTTGCCTTTTCATGCATAAGAGATAAGAACTACATAAAACATTCCAGATCAGATCTCACCTCTCTTTATACAGCCTTTCCCATCTCTACTGGAAAAAACTTCTCTGGTAAATCATAGGACTGAATTTGCCACCAAGTGTCAATGGCTCAGCCACACTGATCCCTGAGGCTACAACGCCAACTCTGTCCCTTTTTCTTTTTACGAACTGAGGAGATTTTGGCTGTCAGCAGAAATTCTTGTTACCAACCTTTCAAGCACCTTAACTTGCATTCCATACTTCTCCAAATTTGAATTTTTTTCTAAGCTCAAGGCCACCTATTTTTTTCTTGTTTGATATCCCAATATTGATCTGTACCATCTGTAGTATCAATGTCTGCATTTGTGTAAGCAAATTTCACAAGGACATACTTTTATTCTTTATGTGTTGTCATGTCCACTCCCTCAATTTGGCAATAATTCACCCAGTGCATAAACATCACTGCTGTAGCTCGAGGGGTAGTACTGTTTCTGCTTAAAATAAATGTCACTATAAAATCAGTCCGAAAAGTTCAGGACTGAAAACAAGTTATGGTGTATAATAAAACAAAATTTTACAAAGGAAAAGTTGAAGTGGTCTTGTTTTATATGATAGGAGATTACTATTTTTGCCTCATCACACATACCTTTTTTTGGCATTGGGAGAGGCTAGAGAGTTTCGAAAAGGTTATTTGTGGCTTGATAGCTGAAGACTGGAAATCTCACACAATGCAGAACATATATAAAATGATATAGTCACTGCAGAACAATGTTGTTTTAGAACAGCAAAAAGGGTCAATCTGCTGCTAGTAGGTAAAGAGCAACACTTGCAATTATTTCACCAAGGTACAGTGGTCTGATTTGTCATTCAGACTGAACACAAACTTGAAACTGCCTGTTTTAAAAACAAAAATGCTTTGTATCTAGCCTAAACTCTGCAGATTTAACAGATACAAAGTTAACAAATTTTAAAAGTAACAGAGATTGAGGTCACATTCTCTTGGACCTTTCATCTTTGGTTTTTTGTGGGTTTTTTTGTTTGTTTGTTGTGGGTTTTTTGTTTGTTTGTTTGTTTGTTACTTTGGAATCCACGCAAAGCACAAGGCCTTTCTCTGACCTTATAATATCATAAAATGTAGACAGGGAAGCAGGACATGGCTGGGACTACTCATTGTTCAGTGTGAGAATTATTACTCACTGACAGGAGTCCTGTTCTTTTTCTTTTTCCTAGTCACAAATTGAATTCTCATAAAAAACAAAGAAATATCTGTTGTTTACAGGGAAAAAAAGCGCCTCACAGGACAATTCACTAAATGAACATCTGCTTTCTCTATAGTCAAGTTACGTATGCTTCCTTGAAGATGAATATCAGGTTTTCTGTTAACAGACGATTTCTGACATCAGGTTATTGCACACATCGGCTGTTTATCACACACTCTTTTTCTAATATGTTCAGTTTTGTCCCAGTTTTGTCATTTGTATAACCCAGCTTTAAAAACAAAAAGCCTCACAGCCAGTAGAGGAAGTGAGGTTAAAGAGAGGCTTGTTCTGGTGACATAATCACACAGGCTTGGAGGAACAAGCAGCCTTCATCTCTGCAGCAGCCTTACCCTTCTGCGCAGCCTGTCCCTCTCCTCACGGACAGCGTTCATGGTGGCCTTGGTCCTGTTGAGCTCCTCCTCTTTGTTGCACAGCATGGCCGTGAGGCTTTCATTCTCTTCTCGTAGGCCAGCGAGCTCCTTCTCCCATCGAGACCTCTCCTCTGACAGGTTTGGGTAAAGGTCACGTCCCAGTACACCCTCAATCTCTTCTACAGTCTGTGAAAATAAAGTCATCAAAACCAAGAAAGAAGCAAAGATGACTGAGTGGGACTAATGGGTACACAGGACAGAAGTGTGTAACAGGCTGTAACTGTATTCTTATACGTACACATGCAGCCCCCCAACACCATTAGTTTGCTTCTTTTGTTTGCTGAGTAATATCAAACAAAATTATTATTTTCTTTGGCTATTTTATTAAAATATTTTGTACTGACAAACACTGAAGGAGACAGATATATGCAAATAAAACATGTCACATGTGAATGACAGCAATGCCAGTAATTTCATCACAGAACACTTCATAACAACTTAATGACTCCTTGTCATGGGTGAGCCCTGTACTTACTCTGTTTCCCTGCTGAGTAACAGGCAGAAAGTAGCAGCTTGTGAATGTGCATTGCATGGGGCATTTCTCAGTTCTAGACCAACATCACAAAAGGGCAAAGAAAAGAGTGGGAGGGGATAAAAAGAGGACTCTTCTTTCCCATGTCCCTGAGCTTGTTCTTTCCTTGATGTGACAGCAATACAAAAAAAAGAACTCTGTCCTTAGCTAGGTTTCCATTATATCAGAAGATGTTACAGCCTTTCTAATGCCTGCAAAAGTGCTGCGTTTCTCTGAGACATATAGTGCCATTCAGCACTTCCCATCCCACCTCCTTGCTCAGGACTGTGCCTTGTAGGCACAGTTCAGTACTGGGGACATTCAGCAACTTCAAAACTACATTCACCCAGCACCAGCAAGGGAATACTGCCATGGCTAAACTTACTGTCAGACTGGTCATTCAACATACTGAAACACAGCATAACACTCAATGTGTCAGGGAGCAACGTGCAGTTCTGAATTTAGTACACAGTGCATGTTGTGCCTGTGTTCAAATAGCAAAAGCACTCCAAATGTCACTTATAAGCTTTTGAATCTCTCTGAAAGCAGTATGCATAAAAATCATGGTAAGAAATATGGAAAATAAAAGGAATATATGATGTAACTAGCAACGCAGAAAGTTTCATTTCATTGGAAAATCCAAAACCAAGCTACGGCTAAAGCCTATACTTTTACATATAATATGGAAGATAAATCATGCACCAAGGTCAAAAATAGTCTATTTAGTTGTTTTATTCAAAAGTACTTAACTTTTATATTCTGATTGATCCCTTCCAATTCAGCATACTTTAGGATTTTAAATATAACAAAAATTACTGCCTTGTTTATTTCCTTAAATCAGGAGGGACTAAAAGAACCAATTAGAGTACAGCTGAAAATGACAAACCAAGTCGGAAACACAATTCCCTTTTTTTTTTTATTTCTGCAAGAAATTTCCCCAATGTTTTCAGCACTATCTGACTTAAACATATCAAATCTTATTATTTGTCCATTACAATGATAAGTTGGTTATTTAAGTTTATCAATGCAATAATCTTAAAGAATAAATCTTGGCTACAGCAAGACTCCTTGGTGAGAAGGAAAAGACACTTATACAAAAGCAAAAACATATTTTTAACAACTAGTTTGAAATGCCTCTATAGAGGAAGCAGGGACAAACCTTTCACAGTCAAGCTCAGTTTATCCTTTTAAATCATATTTCATGTCTCTCTTCTATAAAACTGCAATACATTTACAGTCATAACTATAAACTTTTATTGACAGAGCATCTACATCATAATTCTACTTACACAGTTGGTAGTAAGCTGAAACTACTTTTCTAAAAGAGCAATGCCTTGCAACATCTCTGTAAAATGAAAGAAGCTGCAGCTCTCCCTTACATTAGCTTCACTTGGACCTATAGGTCTCAAATTATGACAAAGTAAATTATTTCAACACAGCATGACAATGAGTTCAAGTTCTGAATAAGCAGAGGGAGGTTAATCTTACGTGAAGAAAAGCTCTGCAATGGCAGGAGAAATCTCTTTTGATGATGCCAGTTTTATTTTAAACAAAGCCTCTTTGTTGCTGTCTTCTCCTGTCCCTTCTTCCCCCCATACCCCTCTTGAACTTCCCCTGCTGTGTTCTCACCCACCTAACACAAAGTTCTGCTGCTACCTCCTACCTCCTTATTCCCCATGCTCCTGAGTGTTGCTGTTTTTCCAACTCCTCCCTTTTCCAAGCCTCTTCTCCTCCTCAGAGCACTACTGGGGGTGATAACCCTATGGCAACATCAAAAGAGGAAGGACTGCCATGAGGAAGCAGCAGCAGTGGTTTAACACCACAGAGGTATCTTCAGACAGAGAGGTTGCTGCTGTTTTTCACGGCTCCAGTGCTATCACAGGCCCACACAAGTACAAAGGTCAGGCATCGACAGCATCAGGGTCTGAGAGTCATACTAAGGGCTGCCCTATAATCCTTAACAAAACCAAGGGACCATTCTGCTTCCTTCTCTGCTCCTTCATTTTGCCCTGATCAGTATCTTTTTGCTGACTAAACTATTATCACAATTCTCCAGTTTGACGACCAACATGTTACCATCCACCATGGTAAATAAAACATAAAAATTGCACTTGGATATATCTGTTTACATGGATATATCTAAGTGTTGTTTATTTTTTTCAGAGCAGTATCACAGAGCAGTTTTATCTGCTGCACAGAAGATAAATTCAGGTATAATTTCAGGGAGCATAGGATTGAATTACAATGCAGTGTTCTGAGCACAGGGCAGGATGCCATATCATGGTAATTCCAGTCTTGTCTCTGACACTGCCATCAGTACTCTCTGCCTTAATTTCTTTACAAGAGGTGTTGTGTTACAGATGTCATATCAGATGAAATCACTAAGTATCAGGTTTGAAAGAAGTAAAAGAAGTACTCCTTCACATGACATAACTCAATGGTAGAATTTATTCCTACCAGAATTTATGATAAATCTCATTTCAAAGTCTTTTCAGCTTTTTATGTGACAGAAACAATTGACTTAGATAGGGTCACATGATTTGTATAAAATAAACAAAAAAACCAATTTACCACCAACAGCATTAGAAGGAACCTACTGACATTTAACCATCAAAGCAGAAGGATTCAACACATTCAGATGCATTAGTCCACTGGTGACGAAAAAAGTCAACAGTCAAAGCAAAAGAGAGTCAGAATACTTCAGGTTTCCATTCATGATTCCATCCATTTTAAAAACCTCTCAGTTCTTTGTCTGAGGAAGTAGGAAAGGAGAAATAACCTGCTGCCATGGATGGAATGGTAGAGGGGGGCTCTGCATGTAGGTTTTGCTATTTTAAACACATTGGTGACACACTTCCTAGTGCATAATCAAGCATATCACAGAGACTCCTATCTTCCTGAAAGGTTAATAATCTTTGCGTGCTATCACTTGTCAAACTCAAGCAATACCAGCCTCTAAAGCACAGGCACTGGGGAAAAGCTTTCCCCTCAAAATGGCTATGCATGTACAGATCACATGAAGATAAAAAGGCTTGTGTTTTTGACTAGGAAGAAACTGCTGATAGTTAGTTACCATTACAAAAGTGTGACAGTAGTTAATGTGAATCAACAGTAAAAAATGGGATTAAAATAAAAAGCTTGAGAATTGAGGTTTTGGCAGATATTTTGACACTTTGTTGAATCCAACTCCTGCAGACGTCTTGATCTCATCTCACATCAGATACCTCTGTGGACCTCACACAGACTGATCTCTACCTGTTTTCCAGGATCCACAGTCTCTCTCTTGGTGAATACTCACTTCTGAAAACAGTTAACCTCAAAACTCCAAATGCTACTTGGTAACATTCAAAGTATTGATCCTAATCCTCTGAGACACTCAAATAAACTGCTTTAATACTGATGCCAAGAGACCAGAAGTCAGTCTGTCTTCCTCTCTCTCTCTCAAATACACAGACATTCTTCAAATTACTATTTTCAACATCATTTTTTTTTTATTTCATTATATTCCTCAGGTTCCACCAGAGACAGAGGGAACTTTTCTCAGTAGTATGCCAAAGAGCTGTCAAAGCCATCTAAAAGGGTTACAGTCCACCCCTCTTGAAGAGCAAACTGTCATCTATTTTTTCTTGTATAAATGAGTCACTGACACCTTTCCATTTGACACAAAGAAACTTTTTTAGGTCTTCCCCTTTATATAAGATACTCTGTGTCTCCCTGGCTTTCAGGTTCTGAATTGCAATCCCTTTGTTACATGAGCCAGCAGGCAACTCTCTTCTTGTTCTGTTACATGTACAACACAAGCAAGACATACAGGTATCAGTTGAATTACTTGTTCCTGTGTCTGACTTGTCTCATTTGAACTAACAATGCCTCACGTTAAATTGGCTTTATATTTTAAGACAGCCAAGTGATAACTCAGGCATATGCACTGTGTTTTCAGTTACCAGTCAATGATCAGGTGTAGGACCTCGGGCAAGTGACAACCTGTTTGCTGGATAAGCAAACTTGCTTAAGAAAGTAAATTAAGTGCTGAGTGTCCCCATTTCTCTTATCTCTGAAGTGAGCATAAGACAAATACATTTCTGATTTGTGATCAAAAGTATATTAATAGCTCCTCCCAACCCTTGGAGAAGTTGTGTAAAACAGGTGTATTACTACTTACCCAACACTGTGAACTCAAGTTGATTCATGTGAAATACTCTGGCACCTTTGGAAGTGAAGTGCAATTACTACAGAAGTGATCCAGTGTGTCAGGCAACACTGTATTTACAGCCTAATGCTACCATTACCTTAATGGCTAAATCACAGTGTTCGCTGGCAGTAGTGAGCTGTTCAATGTGCCTGTCCACTTCTGCTACTGACAAACTGCAGCTGCTTTTCTTCCGTCCACAGACAACATTTTCCAGACCTGTCAGCACTCTTTGCAGTTCTGAATTCAAGTCACTACAGTTATCTAAAAGAAAACAAGACAAAACAAAACAAATATCACAACAATTAGTGACTCAATGAAAAAACAAACTCTAACCCAAGAAGCGCCTCTTGCAGAATAGCCAGGACTGATATTGTTCAAGGAATGTCCTCGCACTCTGTCACTTTTTCCTCACCAACTGATAGGCTTAAATACCATAACCACACCAAATTAAATAATGAGTTACCTCCCATCTAACAAAACAGTCCCTCTGCTTATCTAAAGTGCTCATTCTTTTTTCAAAAACCCCTCTTGTCTAAAGAACATTTTAAGACATCACATGCTCATATCATAAGACGTTTCTTTATGTTGTTCTTTTGACCATTCAAAGCCAATTATCCTGATTTTATTACCCTCATAGGTTTCTCTCTGTAAATTCAACTGTTTTTTCTGTCTGTTACATTCATTGATGTTATGACTTGATGCTTTTCAGAGGAATTTTTGTGGGTGTACTTAGATACTACCTGACTTAAAAAAATCCTGGTGTTTACATAAATGATCCCTACCCACTATCTAAGAATCTATGTTTTATTTTAGTAGCTATTCCTTCTTCTGCAACTGCAGAATATTCAGCAATCATAACACCACAGCTTATTTTTTGTTACGTTCCATACTACACCATATTAGCAGCTTATACCACAATGCTATTTTAATTATAAAATGCAGCAGATTATCGCTTCCTTTCCTGATGTTAGGTTAACCTCTTCTAGTGCCTTGGGCACTGCCATAGCATCCTCCATATGTGAAAACAAGTGGGTCTCTGTACCTTACTGACTCACTTCATAAATTATTTTCATTTTTCTTAGGCTCTCCTCTAGTGACAGACAGTGGCAGTTCCTACATGTAGTAGAATTCACCTTTGTGCTGTGCTATTTAGTATTTCTGGATTTCTAGGTAAGAGTTTGCAATAGCTACCCACAGCACAGCACACAAGTGGTGCATTATGAGACGGCAGTGCACCCACAGCTCCTATATCCTACTAAAAACAGTGGCATGCACTCTTGCTGGAGAGTGTTATTTCTGTATTACAGCTGCAAGGTGCTTCAGGACGGTCAGAATTCCATGGCAGTCTCATAGCTGTGGTTCTCACAGGAGATTAAAGCAGACTCTTGGTGATGGTTCTGTGGCAGGGCCAGGAGTTGGACTTGATCCCGAGGGGTCCCTAACTCAGCATTTTCTATGATTCTATGACGCTATGAAACACAAACCTATTGCTGAACAAAACAAAGAGTTTAGAATGATGTCACAACACTGCATGAAAAATGTGAAGGGGCAACATACAAAACTGTATTGGAAGTCATATGAGGTGTTGTTCAAGGCACGAACCCCACTCAGACACGAACAAGTGCCAGAGCAGAATTACCGTTTATTCAAACTGCCAAGGTTTAAATACCACGCCTGAACATGTCCCATGACCCTCTAACCAATGACAATCAAGTATTGTCTGAGAACCCGGGAGACCACAACTCCCATGGTTCATTGCTACATTCTTCCTGCCACAGTCATATTCACTGGTTCCTGTCTAGCAGCCACCCATCTTTTATGATAATACCAAAAAACCCTTTATAAATGATAATAACACTCACTTATAAGCAGCATAGAGCAAGCAGGATGCTCACTTGCAAAAACCTGTTTTGTTTGCTTGACTTTACTTGTTTCCATAGCACCTTCTATAACGAACATTTTGCACACTTAAGCAACCTTCAGAAGATCTTATGTGCTGGGTTTTGCTACTACAATAACATTTTCCCTATAAAATAATGGTTTATCATGTGAGAATCCTATTTCTGACAGAAACCAAATCATAAGATCTGCAAGATATACTGGAGAGCATTCATAGTTCTAGCTCTAGGTGTTTTATTGCCTGTAGCAACAGAGCAGCATATCCACATGCATTAGTGTGTCATGAGGCTTTACTAAGTCACTGATGCTCACTCCATTAGGGTAGTAAGCAAGTCATGCACACGGTTATTATATCATGATTATTTTATCTCTATACACCTATATCTAGAAGGATAAAAAATATACCTATCTGTGTGTGTGTGCGTGTGCATAATTTATTTTCTCAAGAACATGGAAACAGACCCCCAAAAAAGTCAGTCTATGTATATAAGGAAAATACAGAAGAAATGCAAGAATCCCTACAGCTGAGATTCTTATTTTGTCTATTGCTATATGTTATGTCCCACCCTTAAGGGGAAGGGAGCACCCCAGATCTGTAGATGCTTGTGGTCAACGGAATGACAAAAGTCAAAGAGTCCACAAAAGCTCATAAAATTTTATTAGTAGATTATACACTTGGCATGGAAATTGGTTTGCTAGTCCCTGACCTACTACATAAACACATGGCAGTGGGTTTTGGATGACAGGGTAGCATGAAAGGGAAGAGAGATAGAGAGAGATGAATTAAACAGGTGGAGAGAGAAGGAGAAAAAAGAGAGAAAAAGATGACCAGTCCTGGTTCCAGCATGATCCAGCTGGGGTGTTCGAGGTGCTGGAGCACACATACAGAACAAGCACACCTGAGCTTTATGGGGATACCTGTTTATAGATAAGTTTTCCCTGCTCTGGAGATCAGTTTCTTGTTTTCTGTGCAAATCAGTTAGCATCGTCAGCCGGTTCTTTCAGACCTTTCTGGAAATGGGTCGGAGGCTTTGGGGCTTTTGGGTGGTCTTGATCCCTCCCTACAGTCCATGCCCACTTCTCATCCTCACTTCTGCACTTGATGTGTACCGTGTTGTACTTATCTCTACAGGACCTGATCAAGAACATTTTTCCCAGAAAAGTGCTGCTCATTCCTCCATACATGCCCCCTTCTCCAGCCACATCCTGTTCTTCTTGTAGTGTGTTATTACCAACAATCCTTGGCTGTTATTATCAATAATCCTTGGTTGGCTCCACATCTATCTAGCCATCTGTGTTTTGAGACATACACATCTTCTAGGTTTCTACACTATATTTAATTTTATTGCCTTGTTTCCCACTGTTAGTCGAAACTTAAACAGACAACTTGCTGTTAATGTACACAAATCATGGTTCAGTTCCATCCCATGAAGAAAAAAAATCAAAGCCCTGATACCAAAATACATGCTAAAAAGTGGATTAGTTTCACTTTTTTGGTCAAAAGAAAATTAAAGGGAAAAAAAAAAGTCCTCATGTCACAATCTGTTCAAGTAGGAACATAACAGTGAACATTAACTTTTGAAAGTAAAACAATTAATTTTTTAAGAATATAAAAACCTCTACTAAAATATCTTCATCCAATATTTTGTTAATACTTTGAATTCTGTCGGTCAGACATTTCACAATTACATAGACACCATTACAGAACATACTGTTCTATCATACTGTTTCAATAAAGACATTGAAATACAGCGGCTGGTCTTACATTTATAAACAATATGGTATAAAGAGTAGAAATAGTATTCTGAACAAAGTTCTGAATAGTGAGGATCACACCAGACTTCTGCTAGTCTACAGCTATGGGTCTCATCAATTGTGCCCAAACACTTAAAACATCATGCTGAAGGTCTAGGATCTGCTCATGCCTATACTGCAAAATGTATGGAGAAATTATTTCTTATGTGGAGGTTCTTCAACTAATCAGTAATTGTGTTTGAATGGCAAAATAGATGAAATTCTGAAGGAAAGGTGCTTGGCTTCTTAGTTCTTAACCAGAAAAAAATGAGTTGCCTGGAGGTCCTCCCTCCTTGCACTTTGAATAGCTTGTGTCAGATGCCTCCTTGTCTAAATCCATTTTGGCAAGCTATGCCTATCCATGCTTTAAAAAGGATGGATAGGCAAAAAAGTGTGGACATCCTCTATAATTAGGCCTTAAAAGGTTCCATTACCCATGCTTTCCCCCTTAACTTTTAATCTGTCTGCAATTCTTTTCTAAAGTTAGACTACTTTACAGGCACATGTAAGGTATGTGAATATCTTTCACTCCCTTCTTCTTTCCCAAAATTCATGAGCTCTCATGAACAATATTCCATTTTAAACTCCATAGCTATTCTACACAGCCAGTGGCCAGCAGGACTAGGCAAGTGTACTGGTAAGGCCACACCTCAAATCCTGTGTCCCATTCTGGGCCCCTCACTACAAGAAGAACATTGAGGTGCTGGAAAGACAACAGAGCTGGGGAAGGGTCTGGAGCACGAGTCTGATGAGGAGCAGCTGAGGTGGTTTTCCCTGGAGAAAAGGAGGCTCGGGGGGATCTTCTCACTCCCTAAAACTCCCTGAGAAGAGGCTTTAGTGAGGTGGGGGTGGTCTATTTTCCCAAGTAACAAGTGATAGGACGAGAGGAAATGGCCTCAAGCTGGACCAGGGCATGTTTACATTAGATATTAGGAAAAACTTTTTCATGGAGAGGGAACAGACTGCCTAGGGAAGCTGTGGAATTACCATCCCTGGAAGTGTTCAAAAACTGTGTGGATATGGCACTCGAGGACATGACTTAATGGTGAATATGGTGGTGGTGCTTGGTTGAAGGTTGGACTTGACGATCTTAGAGGTCTTTTCCAATCTTAATGATTCTATCACCAAGGCACAGAGGTTAAGTCACATATAAGTCATGTAGAAGTTCAGCATTAGTTGTGACTAGCACATCCCAGATTAATTTAGCTCCTCATCAAACGTTTGGATCTGCATTTCAAAGGCTATATGTTACCCTTCTGCTGTGAGAAGGCATCATGTCTACACCACGAATCACAACTCACCCATATCTGCAGTGACCACGGTGGACTGATTCTCTGGTACTGAAACGGAATTCTGGTCCGCGCTGCGCGAGTCCTCGTTAACCTCCTGCTGGCTCTGGCTGAGCTCCGACCGCAGCTCTGAGTACTCATCCTCCTCCCTTGGAGACAGAGCAAAGGCAGAAATAAAATCCTCTGAGGAAGTACCTTCTGTGACATTTATTTCAGACCTGTCAGCTGAGCCACAGGGTACAATCCACAAAAGTTTTGTTCAGTCAGTAGAGAAGACTTAATACCGTTCACTGCAAAGTAAGTTATGTGCTATGCCCATAACACCCACTTGCAGCAGCCAGTGCCTGGTTTCCATTTCTTTATTCCCAAGTTCATTATTACTCCAGACCACTGTAGAAGGAAACAATGGGTGGAACTGAGTGCTAGCAAGGATGTGTGCAAGGACATCTGCAGCAGCTCCCCAACTGACAATTCACACAGATCAGCACAAGTAGATTTGATCCCAAAGTGGTTAGAAATAACTGGTTTTGGTCTCTTTCTCAGTTCAAGGATGTCATCAGCTTGTGTGCAAAGCAAGCATATGCACATACCTGCATATGTGTATCAAAATGCTCTTAGAGACAGGTAGCTTTTTCATTTTCTCTTCCCAAAAGAGAGAACAGATAAGTGAGGATTGCACCGAACTGCTGGAGTTAGAAGAAAATAAAAAGCCTTAGTTACCTAGCTTTTAGTTACCTAGCTTTTAACTTATTTGTCAAGCTGGTTCAACTAAAATAATTGAGGACACAGAATACTTTAGCTAAAGCTAATGAGCTTAAAAAATTAAGGATTTTCCCTTCTGTCTCCACACAAAGAGTTGAAAGCACTGGGGAAGAAGATAAGTAAATGAATAATAGCTTTTCCTGAGAACATTTGTAAACATTTTTTCTTACTGATTTGACTCTGAATTTTTTTTTTACTTTCATAGTGACTGTTTTTACATTAAAGTATCTCTTTTAAAGATAAGAAAAACATCAGTTTATCCAGGTGCAGAGCCCCTCTGAAAGTAGAAAAACAGCTATCATTCTGTTTCACATTGAATCACATGAAGAGATTAATTTTGCAGCAGATTCAGCAGAAAAGTGGGAGAATGAAACTGTCTGCATTTGGAAACAGTTAGAAAAGCAAAGACCTGTCTGGGGATCTGCATCTGAGAGGGGTATCTGTAATGTTAGGTTTGCTGTGCATATGCCACATACACTGTGTATGGTGATGAGTGTTTCTTGCAGCATTCAGCCTGGACTCGTGTCTGCATTTTTTAGGCAAAATAGCAGAGAAGATGGCCCCTGCACAGAGGGATCAATAACAGAAGTGAAGTCTGCTCTCAGAGTTGCAGAGGTGACAACTTATGAACCTGTCTTAAAAAAACTCCAAAAAGGAAATTTCAGTTTGCTTGCCGAGCAGGGTTTCCCAAAGTACTGAGATGTATTTTCTACAGGAACTACTATGCTCTTCTACCCCTTACATTTGCTTCAGCACAAAGACAGTGTGACTTTATCAAAAGCACTTAGTGACCACCATTAAACAAAACGCAGGTCAGCCAGTTAACAGAGACTTAGATCAAAGAAAGGTCTTTGAGTTACCATGCAATATTTGTTTCAGACAGTGTGAGAACTCAATCATGAACAGCAGGAATTAAAATAGTGAAATGAAGACACATAAGAGCGAGTTAATGTTCCATGAACTAGTTCATTATTAGCCACAAAACAAGCCAGTAGTAATTAGCTTTGCACAAAAACAATTACCAAGCACTCAAACAGTTGTAATTTTTCATCTAAAGGTAATTTATTTTTTAATTTCTGAAACAATTAGTCCTACATTTTTAAAACTTAAATTACCTTTAATTGGACAAATGGCTCTACTGACCCTAAAACAATGGTACATGTAATAGTAATTTCTCACCACTCTTATTGGGTTCTTCTTGCATAAATTTTCTGTTTAAACCACAACACAGCTTCATGTAGCTAGCACCAGTTCTTGTTTTTTGGTTTAAGTGCCCTCAGTATCTCAGAGCAGTTGAAAAGTATGTCATGTGGCAGAGCTCACACTCTTCTGATGACTCAGGTGAGAAGTCATTTTCTAAGTGAACTAATGCTTCTAGGATCTGACCAGAAAGATCAGAAATCCATTTCTGGTAAAGTGACAGCTAGGTCAATCAATCACTCCACCACCAATCCCAGTGGGAACAGACTGAGGGTAAAAACAAGGGGGAATTCAAGGGCAGGGATACATCACAAATACAAATTCTCCTTTGAAACTGACATTGACAGCAACAAAAGATACTGCTTTTCATCTTTCCCCAAAAGAGAAGAAGAGTCCTCCAGAGGCACTGGAGATGCAAGGTGCTTGGCAATTGACTCCAGGAGGTGGAAGCATTACAACTTTCTCACTGCTGCCATCATGGACAGCCTGGATAGAGAAAGCAGGTAGGCAGGTTCTGCTTGTTCTGCAATGGGCTCTGATAGTTTCCACTTGCTGGAATGGTGAGTTGGAGGCAATTAAGACCAGATCAAGTCATTCTAGGCACAGAGTGATGTGGGATCAATGTTGGAGAAAAAACAGTGTGGTTTTCAGGTACTTATGCACTAATTGCTTTCTTCATGTTCAGGTGCACCCAAGGATCACAAGTGCTGCACAGACTCTGAGGAAAATGTGTTCAAATAGTGAGCAAAATGCACACTTTCCAGCATCCTTTCACACCAAAGATGAGTACTTACACAATGCTGACAAGGTTCACATTCTCTTCACAGCTCCAAATGCTGCATGGCTTCACACTTTAGGTGGCAGCAGTTTTTCAACACACACTTTATTTAAGTAAGTATATTTAAAAATATATATATATTTTATATTTTTTTATATATATATAAATATATATATTTAAAATGTAAATATATTTCATAGCTCTCTAAGACCCTCAGATAGAAAATACTACAGGTGCATGTGCACAGCAACTCAGAGATTCACTGCACCCTGCGTATAGACAGGCGAGGTCCCTCTGAACTAGTTCACTTGAGACAATATGGGAATTAATCACTGAGGGCAGGTAGAGCTGGGCATTGTATGCTGAAGCCAACATTATCACATCCACACTGCCATTTGAATTGAATCCAAAGTGTGCTAGCTTCCACCTAGCACATATTTAGAAGCTCCAATTAGACCTGCAGGTCACTATGTAAATGTGAGAGTAAGTGCCGTGCGTTATCTCATTTGATGCTGTTGTCTATTCTCTCTCCTTCTTCTTCATTAACTCCAACACAACCTACTTTCTAAATATATTTCAGATTAAAAGCTGTAAGTCTAAACCAGTGGTTTTCCAGCAACAGGTTACAGGCTTCTTCTTCTTGACAATTGTTTCAAATAATTCTTAGCAGGCACCAATGTTGAACAGAGTATATTTCTGTCTGCATTGTTAAGAGTCTGTTTTTAGAGTTGCAGAAATGTACCCAAACAGCCAGTGGTTTAGAACTAAAAGCAGTAAGATCTCTCTCCTTTTCCTTTACCCAAACCTCTATTTGATATCTAAGAAAAACAGTCATATGCTGAAGTTACAGATGATTTTGACAGCCAAAAATAGGATTAAGAAAAAAAATCAGGTTTGAATGAATCTAAGACAACACTAAAAACTTTTGAAGTCAGAAATATTCATCTTTAATATAGACATAAGTCCATTTTAGTACACCACTGTATAATTTATAAATCCTCTCTGTGCTTCAGAGTTACTCAGTGTAACCTTTATGTCCAAGTATTTACAAAATGACTCTATAACTGGGAAGATCCATCTGATTGGTTTTGCTGTCTTCTAAGTTGTACACACTTCGAGAGAAAACAGGAGTGACATACATCTTGTCAAAGGACAGAGAACCTTGGCAACATAAGGCTGGTCTACTTGCACTTGAGTATCAGCAACTCAATTTTCAGCCTTAATATCATATCAATTACAGTTGTATTTCACCTTTTCTGCTGTCCAAAGCAGCAACAGCAGCAGGGAGATGAGACAACTGCAGATGAGTGCTGGCTTGCTCCCACAACCATGGTGAACTCATTTTTCTAAGGGAACGGTGGAAGAATCTAGTGCAAGAGCTGCTGCTAATTTCATGGGGACACACACATGGAACTTGCTGTACCCATGAAAAGGGTAGCAAACCTAGAAGAATCCTGTAAACTTCTAAAATATTCCTGTAAGATAACTACTACTAAGATCAGCAGGTCAGATATGCCTGGGAAAAGACATGTGCATCAACATGTGACTTAAGCTGTCTTCTTGCTCAGAGAAGCTGTGGATGCTCCATTCCTGGAAGGGTTCAAGGCCAGGCTGGATGATGCTCTGAGCAATCTGGTCTAGTGGAAGGTGCCCCTGTCCATGGCAGGATCTTTAGGGTCCCTTCCAACCCAAACAATTCTACTGTTCCAGAGCTGGCATTACCAAACCTCATGAGCAAAAGCCACTACACCTCTAAACTGATATTGCAAAGGCAAAAAACCTCCCAATATTCACACCAAAAAAACACAGAAAAATTCTCTGAATGGAGAATATTAACTAGCTTATACAGTCAGCCAACACTCCTCTTCAAACCATTGCAGTACCTTATTCAGATTCCAACACAGTGGCTGATTACTTTCTGCCCTACTTTCTAAGGGTACTACTTACACTCAGACAAATAGCTACAAATTTAAAGATAATACAATTTAAAGAGGATAGTCAAATACTCTCTACAAAATTCTGGTTTCTTCCAATTGTTTCTGGAATATTTTGGGGTTTTGGAAGGAACTATGAAGAATGTCATAAAGTGGCAGTACATCAAGCTACGTTAGTTTATTTTTACACCCTAAAACCTATACATGAAAAAAAGTGACCAGTCAGACTGTGTCAGCATTGGGGAAACATTTATCTGTTATGCAATTAAAGTAAACTCAAGAAGACTGTTTCCGGAAAGACAGCCCAATTTTTCTGATACTGCAAGTAAAGCCTCTGCTCTGTTTTAGTTACAGGTATCAAAGAGAGAAATCAAAACTAAAATCCCTCCTGTGCTCTGGTTTAAAGGTAAGTATGAATGCCAAGGCTCTACAGGGCCATGGTCCCAGAACGCTTTCTCTCAGGATTGTTTTGTTTCAGCTCCTGGACTCAACAGCCCCCAGAGCCAAGGGTGGAGCGCTGTGAGTCACACGTGATCTAGCAAAGGACAGCAATTACACCATCCCTGCTCTGTGGGACTGAACAGCTTCTCAAGAGTGACACATGTGGATCCCAGTGTGGATTTACAGAAAGTCACAGCAGGAAGTATCAGCTTTCCTTCTTTCAGTTGTCTTTACAGACAGTATGTAATCCCTTCAGTATCTACTTGGTTGCAATTTTTAGGGGCAGTATTACTCTTCTGTTCCCCAGACATCAAATTATTGGCCTGCCAAAGAAAACAAGCTATTCCCAACATTAAAGGAAGTAAAAAATCCACTAACAACAAACATTTTTGTTCTTATTAATAAAACCAGATAAGGCATTCTAGCTGCCTGAGCAAAACGAGTTCTCATATGATTGAATCAAACTGGAAGAGCACGACAGTGGTGTTGCAGTAGTATTTTTCTGATCCCTTTAAAGAAAAACTGCACTTTTCATAAGAAGCAACATGAGCTTCCCATCAGGCTTGGCTCTTACACCTCACTTCCCTATGGATGCCATAGCTGATTCATTTATGGATGTGGTTAAACATTCAGAGCATCCACCTGATTCCAATATTTTGTAATTGAACACCACTTGGCATTTACTTTGGCACAGGGATCTCAAACAAACCATTTTTATGAATTCTTTGTAAAATTCTTCTTAAATGTCATAGAGTTCATCTGTCATTCAAGAAAAAAAAAAATCAGTGCTTCTCAGATTTTGCTTTTCATCTATTCAATTGGTAGATCTTTACCAGAGAGGAGGGTAGTATGGACAGTATCATGTTGAAAAGAAAGGCAACTTGAAACAAGACAAATAGAAAATTTGTCTGCAGAGGTATCAAACATGAATGAATAAGGGAGTCAGGGGGATTTTTCTTCAGAGAAGTACTACCAGTATAGGAAATACCTGAAAAATCTCACCATGATCATCACTAGTTATGAGCATCTCATAGGGAAGAGTATTTATCTTCTTAAATAAAATGAACATAATGTGATTCTACCACTGCTTTTAAAGTGCTATATATGTGTGTGTGTGTGTGTTGATACTTCCTCTTATTTATGGTACACCAAACCTTCTTCTTTTTGCATACAAATATTTTCATGAAAGGTTAAGTGAGTAGTTGTAACAATATTGCCTTGTGCTAAAAGAAATATTTAAAAGGAAGGACAAATAAAGCACACTACCAAAAATTGCAGCTAACAGGTAAGGAAAACTGAAAATTTGCTACATGGCTAGAGCATCATGCCAATGTTACCCACAAAACCATCAAATCTAATTTGAAATCTAATTCCTATTCTCTAGGAAATCTGTAGATTCTAGTTGTTTAGTTGCATCCTCACTAGCTAAACTATAAGAAGCTCCTTTTGCATTCTAGTCCAACTTCTCTACGTTGAGAATAATGGGTAAAAACAAGAGAGAACAATGTTTCCATGTAGTCTAATACACAGTTTACTTTAACACAGTAACATGTAATGATCCAGTGTAATACCCTAAGCCTTGCTGCTCCAAAGACAGACAACAATGGGATTTGTACCATTGTGTTTTGTCAAAAATACCAGTAACAAGCAGGTGAAAAACCTACTGAAATCTATTTCAGCCATAATGCTCACCACAAATGATTTCACTTAGATGATCTACAGGAGGCCACAAAACAAAGTTAAAAGCACAGCTTCAAGTTGGGTGGCTTCATCTTCCTTTATACACCCTTGCTGTCTCTTACATGGTTCCCCAGGACATTATGCTAAAGGAGTATTTACATGGCACAGTGCAGTTTTTTGCAGTGCTTGTTAGGTTAGCAAAGTGTTATTTTGCCAGAGAGAATGCAGCACTTCTAGGTCTTGGGATGGTACTCTGCAGAACACACACCTTAATTATGGGCAGCTATTCAGCATCAGTCACAACAAGCCCAACTACCTTAAAGTTGTCATCAAATTATATTTAGAGTATAATTCACACCATGTTTTGCACTTGTCTTGCATTGGCCCAGGATTTCCAGGAAGCTGTTGTACCTTATTGTTGTTCCCTGTAGTCGATCGATTTTCTTGTTCAGTTCAGCAATGATACTGTGCAGCTCTGTGATGCGTTCCTCGTAGCGCAGCGTTGTTCGCTCCTGCACATCTTCATGCTCTCTCATCAGGTGGGATTGCTCACACTAAAGCAGAGAAACCAGGAACAGAAAGGGTGTTATGAATACCTGCATGGAGATCACATACAAGGCAAAAGTGCACAGCGTTATGGTTTTCTTACTCATCCTTAGCAAGCAAAAACGAGAGAGATAAAATATTGACAGGTACACAAAGGTATGTAATTACAAGATTTTAGAAACCGACAGAATATGCTGTGTACTTTTATCATTTTTTTTTAAAGGGCAGAAGTTGCCCCTCCCGCTTGAATAAAAAACACCATTTGCAACTCAAAATAGCTACAAATATTGATCTTTGAATCCAAGAGATTCAAGGCATATTGTGAATCTTCAAGGATCTTCCCAACATGCTCTGAATTAGAACAATTCCTATGGCAAAACCCACATCATTATGTGGGAAATGTAGAAAAGAAAATTAATTACACTTTGAGGTTATGGGTTCTTCTCTAGTATAAGTATTTGGTTTTAATTAAATTTTAAAAATAATATAGCATATTTTTATTATGTTAGTGTTCTATGATAGAATGTTTATGATTAGAACAATTAAAAGGCTGTTTGTTTTTTGTACATATCACAAAATCATCCTTCTTTCCCACAGAATTTTAAATCTAGCCTCTTTGGCTTACTCTTCTGACCATCAAACACTCTATTTCAATTACAGCAAACAATTACAGTCTACTGCAACTACAAACCAGGAGCGCATGGTGACTGAAGTTATGTTTGGTAGTGGCTGGAAAGAGTAAGACTTTTAACGTTTTTCTTCTGATGCCCCCCTTCGTTCAAGCCTGCTTGCACCCATACAATGGTATGTACTATGCTGTCAGAAAAGAAAATTCACAACCAATTGACAGTATAAAACCTACAATCCTTTCACTGAAGACCTGCAATGTAAAATCCTAGTAGCCATTTCTAAAGATTATGTACAAACCTAAACATCCACTTGTCAGATTATGTGACCAATACGTCTGTTCTAGAACAAGCAGCAGTCACAAGTACTGAGGCCATGTTGCTGAGAACACAGCTGCGATGGGCAGGGCACGTCTCCAGGATGAAGGACCACCGCCTCCCCAAGATCATGCTCTATGGTGAACTTGCCACTGGCTGCCACAAGAGAGGAGCCCCGAAGAGAAGATTCAAGGACTCCCTGAAACAGCATCTCAGCCTTGGCCATACTGATCACCATAACTGGTCTACTCTGGCCTCCAACTGGGAGGCCTGGAGACACGGCATCTATAACGCTGCTGTTTCCTTTGAGAACGCACGCAGGATCACTCTTGAGGAGAAAAGACAATGCAGAAATAATCGTGCCCTGCAGAATATACCACCTAAGGAGCCCTTCTGCTGTGCTTTTTGCAAGCAGACTTGTCTATCTCGTATTGGCCTTCTTAGCCACCAGCATGCTTGTAACGTGGGTAGAGCCCTTCCCAAATCTTCGTTCGTGAAGTCTAGCCATGATGACAGAGGTTCTCCAACATTGCTGCATCAAAAGCTTTTTTCAATCAAGTAAACACTCCACAGAGAGGTAACTCCCTAAACCCTTTGTATCATAAATATGACATATCCAAACTAGCAGGTGTGGCAGAATTTTCATAGTTTGCTCTCATATTTTTTGGCCACTTACATTCATAGCTTGAGAACATCACCTATATAAAAGCCTGATTGAAAACTAAGATTTCCACTGACCTTCAATAATATTTTCATTTTAAATTTTAAATACAATTTGTTCCATGATTTTTAGATTTCATGAGTATGCACACTGAAAAGTAGCCCAGACATTAGAGGACCCTTCCATAGACTACAACAAAATAGTTTCTTACTCCAGCTGTAGCCAAAAGCACTTTTGCCTATACTAGGAGCAACAGATCACATCATCACATTGAAAAAGAGAGCAAAGGGACACAGTTTAGAAGACTGAAAATATTCTCCTCACTTCTAAGACTTCATGTTGGCAACTGATATCTTTATAGATGTATATTATAATTGTAGAAACTTTCCACAATTTATTTATCACATTTTCGGTTTTTAACATCGTATCCGTCTGAAGAACTACCATGGCCTTCAGAGTGCAGAAAGAACACAGAGAAAACGTTTCACAAAAGCTTTAGAGCAGATTTAGGGGGAATAAACAAAAATCTAAATTTCCTCTGACACACACATATGTCCATAAATGGTACTTAAGCATTAACCAGATCAATCAATTATACACACTAGTGTTTTTTTTCCTTTTAAACCAGAGATGATTTCAGATGAAGTGTATAATAACTGTTTTCTGACAATAAATAAAAACCCTATCACAACAATTTTTATCTCTCTAAGCTATACACTGAAAAGCAGAATTTGTTTATCTTGACTGAAGATACATGGGCTCTCACTAATGGACCCCAGCCACATTACCAGACTTGCTTTCTGTTTTCTCCAGCCGTTTCTCAGTCACCATTTTTCAGGACAACCATCGTTTAGTGACAGATGTACTTTGTGAACAACCAGAAGTCTGGTAATATAAGACAATAGTTTCACATTTGATTTTTTTAAAAGCACTCTTGAATTATCTTAGGCAAAAGCAACTGAAAAGGGCTGAAAGGAAATCTCTGTGGAAGACAGGCCACGATGCTAACTAAGGACTGCACTGCCTTGGAGGTGGGCACAGAACTACATCTCCAAAGTTCTGTCATCCATGACAAGCCTCAACTGAGAAAGGCAAAAGCATCCGAACAATGGAAACATAGTTCAGTATGGATCCCAAAATGCAGCCATGGAAAATTCTTTTTGGTATACAGGATTACTCTTTGTTATGGAACATTCATCTCAAAGTTCAAAATGAAAAAGAAACAAATGCATCTTTTGGTACCCGCTGCTGAATTTTTTCTCTGGGATATTGCAACTGTTCATCATCCTCCTTAGTTTTTTTGTTCTTTGAGTCTCAGAACAAAATGATCTGCTACCAGTTTTTATTTCTTTCCAAGGTGTACGATATAAATTAACAATGACTGGAAAGACTATTGTCTGAACTCTTGACGGTGTTCAACCACAAGAGCAAGAAGAGGATGAGGGAGAACCATGGTAAGAGAAAATAATTTAACCCAAGCTTATTGTCTCAATATGTGATTCTTCTGCCTATCAATGTACAAAAATTCCTAGTGAAGAAACACTAGCAGTGCATTAAATTATGTTCACCTTTATGTTAAATTCGCAGTGTTCAGTCAAAGGACAAAAAAAAGAACCACCAGCAGCAGTGCTCATTAAGAGATGCCCCAGTGCCTCAGGCCCTGCAGAGACAAACACTGGCTATGGTGTTGTTCACCAGAATACAAGTCATCACCTGAACAAGCCACAATGATAAACCTGTCTAACAGGATTACAGGAACTAAAAGTCTTTGCTCAACTAACACAGTACTTTAATTTAAGAGGAGTGGCAGATTTAAAAGTGGCAATCCATTAATCTAAATTTATGTGTAAATACAAGTCTATGGTGCTAAATCCTCAATCACGACAACATGCACAGTCAGAATTAATTGTTTTGTTGTATATTTTGTGCATACTTGATGTGGAAGATGAATACAAGTACACAGAATTAATCCACGTCAGATAAGGACATCACACAACAGAATGAGTAATTTCAATGTTCATCTGAACACCACTCACTTCTATTTCAAGTTACTCTGTTAAATGAGAAACTGAAGCCTTCCTGTGAAGTTCACATGTTCTTACACGTCTGCAGAGAATGTTGCTTATGTTCTTATATAACTACAGAGTGTTGGTTTAATTCTTATACTGAAATTCTGCTGTCCCTCCCTATATTCTGAATAATCAAGAGGATGGTAAAGAATTATCACTGCAGTAATGGGACATGCTACTGTGTGATACACAGTCCAGAATTGTACAGCAAAGTCTTCGTTACCCTGTGTCTACAGCTATTACGGAAACTCAAAATTATGACTAAGAACAAAGAATGAGAGAGTAGGAGTACCTTGTGAGAGGAGATGAAATGATAAGAAAGATGTAGTAAGTGAATTGTCTATTCTTGTATTTACTGAAATGTTTAGCATGTTATTAAATTCCATGTTCTAACACAAAACTGCAGAGCTCAATGTCATAGGATGTAGGAAATTCCAAGAATGTAGATAGATTAGAAAGCAGACTATATAAAAAAGACTATAAAAAAAAAATCCACAGAGGAAAGGACCATATAGGACTACAAAATGCAGTGTAGCCTGTTGCTCACAGATGTTGGCAGAAAGGTGGGGGAGTGTGAAGGGGGACAACTCTATGCATTTCTTATGCTCTCCCTTCACACATCCAGTATTTATCACTATCAAAGCCAGGACACCATGCCAGGCAGAGCTAGCAGAAAACACTACAATTCTCATAACAATGGAAAGATTTTTGGAAGAAGACATTAGTTGAGATTGACCAGTGCTTTATAGCAAATTTCATTCAAGAGATCACCTCGTTGCCAAACTGTACACTGACAAAAACACAAGAGACAGAGATCTGCTGTGTTACTAAAATAATAGAGGCATGTACAGAAAAATTATAGCAGGTCTCTACAGACTGCAGATTTGGAAGCAAGCATGCTACAACCACCAATAATCAATTACATCACTTTACAAAATTTTAAGCCCAGGCTATCCAACTATCTTTCTTCACCATTTGTCATTGATTACTTGAATTGTGGTTCCCCAAATCACCTCCACTCTGCAAATCATTAATCCTTTCTTCAAAATGCCTCACATGCCTCATGAAATGATGGGAAAAGTATTACCAAAAATGTGATTTAAGAGCTATTTGTTCCAGAGAGCATTTACCATGCCAGCTGAAATGAAACATGTGCTGCCTTTGTAAGTATAATCCAGATGCAGAATAGAGATTTAATACTGGACAACTAACATCTGAGTATGGTTATGCAGAACCTCAAACACCTCCTATTTAATTTATGCCTTCTGAACCTCTGATTCACATTAGACAGAAGCTGTAGAGGAAAAAATTGTATGATACAATATGAATTTGAATGAATCCCTGTGGAGCGGGAGGAAAAGTTCAAAAAACTATGTTAAGTGACGTATCTACTTGGAAGTGATGCAGTTAGAAAAAGAAGAAAAGATGGAGTGGTTCACCAGTCTCAGTCTCAGTACTTAGTCATAGCCAACGCATTGAATATATGAGTTGTGTTTCTTTAATGGTTTATTCCTTAAGAAAGATTGTATTTTATTTCTGCTTGAGGGTATTTTAAAAAAAATAAACTGAAAAGAGATAAAACATTAAAACTTTTTAGAAATTTCTCATTAAAAAGTAATTTATCTGAAATCTAGCTAGCATGTTAGTTTCCACATATTTCATATGTGAAAGGTGGCAGTCATCACTAGGCTTGTGTTCATAAGCACAGGGGTCAAGCTCATGAAACAACCCTCAGCATGAAAAATTGAGTGCTATATACACATGCATAATTGATACCCCATCAAGGAAAACACTGAACAATCTCGTGCTAACAGAGCACATGATAATTGGGATTAAGGACTGATCCTTAATCCCAGTTGCCACCAATTCCGTGCTGAATGGGAGCACTTACAAGGCACTTTTCACTAGCTGAGAAATAATACATGTATTTTTAAGCAAAGATTTGGAAATAAAAGTAAAACACTGACAAAAACCTGTGGTTAGCATATACAAATAATAACAATGTGGTCATGCAGAATGATCAGGATCATTTGGATACAGTGAATCATTCTGACAGTTTAATGATTGTTAAATGCAGCCTCATATCAAACTGTAAACAAGATGGAGGATTCTATCTGAAGAATGCCACAGATATTAAAAAAGGCTCTCCAGATTATAGCTGATATACCATGTTAACTCTCAGCTTGGCTCTGGCTCACATATTGAGGGGAATAAAAACATGAAAGTGTTTTTTATTTCTGGATGTTGCATTGATGGTCTGCAATAACAGTATCACTTACAAGCCCATAAACCTTTAAGGTAGCTGAAAAAAACCATTAGGAAATGCAGGCAAAGGCCAGCATAAGGGAGGACTGAAGTAAAAGCCTAAACATGACCGCTTAAACATTTCTACATTTGGTTTGAGTTTAATTAACACAGATACCAGGCCTTTCCAAAATGCACCGAATATTGAAGACTCTAAATCTGCAAACTCGCAGGATGGCTGAGGCTGACAGGGAGGTCACTTATCTGGAGGTCACTTATCCAGGCCCTTACCCAACCCACCAGGTCCAGGTGGATTGAGGACTTCTAAGATTGGAGATCCTACAGCTTCTCTGGGGAACAAATAAGATGCCATACTTTACAGGACAAAATGCTTTGATTGTCTCTATACAAGCACAAATGAATATGGGGTTTGAACTAGTTTTGAAATGTAAAGTATTTACAAATGGCATTTGACACAAAGACAGTATCGGAAAACAAAGGTTTTGTTTATAGGAGAGAGAAATATTAAGAACAATAGCTCAATTTTCCTTGTTTGCATTTGCATCTCTAAAAGAGCTGTGAAATCATTAGAGGTCAGACCTTACTCTTATTTAACCCCTTGGCTTTCCTGTGGCTGTGTTTTCCACAGCAGATACACACCAATTGACTTACTAGAGGCTAGACTGAGATCACAAATAATTTCTCATGTAACACCAAAGCACTGACAATTGGCAATAACTTTTATCAGTGTTAATTTGTGTTGCACTTACATCTGACCCAGAAGTGGAAGGCTCTGCAACCAGTTACCTAATCCACTGTGTATAGGATCCCAAAATATAATATTTGCAGAGAGAGATTTGAGTGGTCTTTGCAAAAAGCCGTGGGCTACAGAAGCTGGGAAAAACCCTCTTCATTGACCTTAGCCCTGAGGATTTTTCCTGCCTTCTCCAGCAGGATGTGAAGAGACTCTTTGCTTGATGTTATCACATGCTCTGCCCAAGCCAGAGTCGGCATCCTGATCTCATCAAACCCCTGCAGAAGACCTTTTGTGCTTTCTCTCTCCCTTTGTGTTCCCTAAATCCTTGCATTCTGTAAACCTGAATACCTTTTTCCCTCTGTAATTCCCCTAAGATAAAATGGGTTTTCTCCTATGATGTATGTGTAAGAACCCAAATTTGTTAACCTGGGTTTTTCCCTTATGTCATCCCCTGAAACCTCCTATTTATAATAATAGTAATAGTTACAACCCCCTGTTGAATATGTAAACCATAAACCCTTTAAATATGAACTTGTAAGTCCAATAAAGGATTCCAGTTTTCTGCCTCCGCTGGAATCATCGTAGTTATTGACTTGCTACAACTGTGGGTATGCTGCAAGTCTTATATTCTAAAATATTTCAAAGCATTTGTTGTTTATATTGGCTTCAAACCAAAACTAATCTAATTATTTTTAGGGGGTTTTTTTGAAGAATGTCATCAACACATAAAACTTATAACCCATGGCAAGTATGTGTCTTGCAGTCTTAAAATTCTTTTCACTTTTGACATTGTTGAGTATTTTATCCTCTCCCCACATACTATATTCCTCTCTGAGAAACAACAGCTCCACAAAACCAAGGACCATCTTCAGAATCTTGAACTACTGTTGCTCACCTGTGCTTTAGCCAGTTTCTTTTCCAACAGGTCACGTTCCTTTTCTGTTTGTTGTAGACATTTATTAAGCTCCACTATGTCTCCCTTTAATGAAGCCAGGGCTGCTAAATGAAGCTGGAAGACAAAAATGAAAGAAACAAATTAACTAATTCGCAAGCTACGTAGCAGTAGCATTTCAGAGAAGAGACAGTATTATACAGCAGCTGCAGTATCACTGGGTTTCTGTAGTAGTTAATAAGAACTTTACTAGAACAAAGTCTAAAAGGAATCTACATGCAAATAAATATTTTTAACATGGAATTTTTCTCTTCAGACAGCACACACATTCCTTCACCATATCCTTTATAAGGATAAATACAATGAAGAATAATTCAGGTAGAAATGTGTAGATTAGTTCTAGCTTTAGTTTATTAGGAGGCAGGTTGAGTCTTGTGCTCTAAAACCTTATAGCAAATGTTGACTAAGATTGGTATTACAGAGTAAGGTGTATCAAGTTTCGATGCCTTTAGACATAGAGAGATTATCAGTTTGGTGAAGGGAATACCTCCATGCAGAGGATTTGGGTTTATTTTGCAACTAAAGCTTACTCCACCTTGAGCTACTGCTCTGCAGTTCTGCTCAGTCCCATGCCAGTGAGTTTCAACAAATCTAATCTACTGAACCCACACATGAAGGACATGAACTGTTTTTCTTTCTGCAGTCGATCCTTTTGATGAAAGATATGTTCTGCATTTAACTGATAGCATTTGGTAATATCTATCAGGTTAGGATAACTAGTAACATTGAAACTAGGTTAGCTACACAACTTAGAAAACAAGAACAGTTCTTACAAGAATCCTATACTTTTAACTCGTTCACACTCTCTTTGTCCTTAAATATCCCATTAATCGTTGCACCAAAGGCATCAGCTAGAATTCAACACTCAGTACTGATAACTACAACTGAAAAGTCCTGGAGGAAAACTAGCCACTAATACTGAAGTCTTTCTTTGTAGTAGTAAAGAAACAGCTTCAAGTTATACTGGGTAAGAAAACAAAAGTGACCTTTCACACCAGAGTAAGCAACACAGCAGACACTGCTCTGCTGTCAAGACTCAGACTGAAACATAAACCCTGCTTCTAGTCCTTCAGTCAGTTTCAGTCCCTCAGTCTGATATTTTATTGGGCGGGTCACTTAAAAGTTATTTTTCATGCTTCATTTACAATGAATCAGCTAGTGAGTCCTATTTTGATAACAATTTTACCTTTCCAATACTGGAAGCCAGCAAAACCATACGTGCTTTCACATACTGATATGAAAGCAGCTTCATGACAGCAGAGAGACTAGATTATTTGGCAAAAGCTTCTTCACATACAGTATTGTCAGTGTTATAGAAAAAATCCTCTGGCTTCAAGACAGAAAACATAACTTTAAAAAGGTTTTTGGATGCGAACTCTGCAGTTTTAAATGCTTATTCTAGAAGCTCTGGACATCTTCATTTGTGAGTTCAGTACAAAGCATTTTTATTATGTCAGTTACAAAAACTTCTTAGGAAATGCAGTTATTTGCCTAAGTGCAAATACACACATGCACAATTACATGTTGCGTAAACGTTTCTACATTTGGTTTGAGTTTAATTAACACAGATACCAGGCCTTTCCAAAATGCACCGAATATTGAAGACTCTAAATCTGCAAACTCGCAGGATGGCTGAGGCTGACAGGGAGGTCACTTATCTGGAGGTCACTTATCCAGGCCCTTACCCAACCCACCAGGTCCAGGTGGATTGAGGACTTCTAAGATTGGAGATCCTACAGCTTCTCTGGGGAACAAATAAGATGCCATACTTTACAGGACAAAATGCTTTGATTGTCTCTATACAAGCACAAATGAATATGGGGTTTGAACTAGTTTTGAAATGTAAAGTATTTACAAATGGCATTTGACACAAAGACAGTATCGGAAAACAAAGGTTTTGTTTATAGGAGAGAGAAATATTAAGAACAATAGCTCAATTTTCCTTGTTTGCATTTGCATCTCTAAAAGAGCTGTGAAATCATTAGAGGTCAGACCTTACTCTTATTTAACCCCTTGGCTTTCCTGTGGCTGTGTTTTCCACAGCAGATACACACCAATTGACTTACTAGAGGCTAGACTGAGATCACAAATAATTTCTCATTCGCAGACACTTGTGAATATTTCAACCTATTTCATAAAACAAATCAAACCCCAAATTTAATCACAGCAAAAACTGTTGGATAAAGAAAATACACTAAAGATTGTTAAAAAAATTACATAGAACAGGTAAACTACTGTTATTTCAGTGAGCAGGATCAGTTTTAGAACATACTAAAAAAAAAAAAAGAAGAAAAAAGATGCAATTATGGAATGTTGTCCTTTGAAAAATTAATCTGGTGTGGTAGGGGGAAACAGTTTTTCCCCCTGCAGTTGTAAAATGGTAAAATCCCAGGGGGTGGTGACCCCTGGAAGTTTTGAAGTTTTGTCCAATGGGCGCTTCTGCGAAATGTAAACATACCACAAGGAAACGGAAGAGAAGGTTAGTTGTAGTTTGGTAGTAGAAGAAGTGGCCATGTTGTGAAAGCCATGAGGAGAAACAGCAGCAGGCCCACTGGGGGCTGGGGCCCCCCAGCCCCCAGCGGGGGGCTGCGGGGACCTGGAACAGCATAAAGCTGGGCTAGGTGCCTGCAGCTGAGAGCTAAGAAAGTTTTCTCCACTGTGGGTGAGCAGAGACAGCAGCGGCAGAAGCAGCGTCCAGAGACTATGGCTAAGAGCCAGGACAGATAAGAACTGAACCAAACAGCAAACGGCATGCAGCAAGAGAGAGAACTCCTGGAAGGAGAGCTGAGAAAGAGAGACAGCAGCAGAGAGACAGAGTTGGGGTAAGACCTGGAATAAAACCCCATACCCCTCTGAGACCTCTGAGAAAGGAGGGAGATGAACTCCTATTAAGGAGAGGAGCCTTGGAGTGCTGCAGCACCAGAGAGAGAGGAGCTGAGAAGCTCAAAGACGTCCTGAAGCTGGACCAGGACAGAGAAGGAATGCGGAGGAGGTTGACCTTGGCCCCCCTCGCTGCTGCTGGCAAGCCTGGCAGCCTGAGACAGAGCACAGGAGCTCTGGTAGAACTCTTGAGGCAAAGGCTTCCAATTGAATGCTGCCCAAGATGTTCTGACTCAGGGGTGAACCCCCCTGAGGAAGGGACTTTCACGAAGATGCCCCTGCATTTTGTAATATACCTGTGGTGAAACGAGTTTAGTCCCTGCTGGCAGTCCACAGGTGAGACCTTCACTTAGAGTCGAAGGAGAGCCAAGAGGAGTGAAAGGAGACCCCCTTGTGTCTTGAAAGACCCTCGTTTGGAGACGACGGGCCAAGAGGCTTGGAGACCCCCTTGTGTGTATTGAAAAGAGATCCAGCTACAATAATCAAGTTATGGCTGCTGCACAGAGAGACCTGCTGCCTTAGAGACATTGCTGCTCTGAAGAAGGGATCTGTCCTTCTTCCCTCCTGCACTTTTATTTGGAGGGGAGAAGAGATCTGATCCATTGTAAATACTTATGTCATGGCAGAGATAGTTGAGATCGTGTGTATAATGTATTATAATATTTATGTGTAATGTATTATAATATTTATTTGTACAGTCATTTGTAATATATTCCCTTTCCCCCATTCTGAGTCTCGTGTTTTGTCTGGAAAAAACACATCTTATACTAGGTTGAGATTGGGGGAGGGGGCTTTGATAGAGAATTAGATTTTTTGGAGCTCTCAAACCATGACATCTGGCAATTTACACTTGATGAATGAAACATGGTGCTAATAGCACTTCTGAGTGTGCCTGAGGCCTAGAGCAATGGCCCTACTTCTACTACAACAGATGTTTACAACATCATAGAAATCAAAATTTTAGGTAACATGAGAAGAAAAGCCCAACACTGACACCTAAAACTAACCAAAAGAGAAAAAGTATCTGAATCTGGAGGTTGCACAAAAGAACTACATGTTGCAAAGTTCACTCTTTTGGGATTCTTATGAATCTTGACTGTGGCACTGGAGGGCAGCCCACACATCCACACGAACAGCCTTTAAACTGACACTGATACTGTGCAAGAATGGTCAGCCTTGCTTTCATCTTCCAGAGGAGGAATCTGTTGCTACTTCCACTCCAAGTGAGGGAGTAAAGTAACAGCAATGTATGAATGTATGGAAATGAGGCTGTAGGACACCAAGCTTAGGACAAAATACTGTCTTCACTTCAACTCAGCCTTAACACATTGTCTTGGACCATAGCCTTTCTTTAAGTAAAAATAAAAAATTAAATTATTATGCAATTATGAGCTAGGAAGGGTTTGATATGTCCATACTTAGAAGGATTTTATCTCCACTTCAGTGAATTTAGCATTCCTACTATCTTTACAGTCACTCTCAATTTAAGTAAGAAAAATTATGTCTCTATCAGTGAACTGATGGAAAGAGGAAACAGATCTATTTTTTTCTATTTCCCCTTTTGCCAAACATGACTGGAGAAAATTAACTTAGGAGAAAAACAGCAAGGTTCAGTGCAGTCCCTTGAAAATCTCAAGATGCCAAACTTCTTTCCTATGTTCCTTTCCAGCTTGCTCAGGTGATGGGCACACCTTTTGTCCCTCAGGAAAGAAAGGAGTGGAAAACTAATCCCAAGAATGAACCTCACTCAATCCTCTGCATTTAGCACTGAGGTGACCCACAGCATAGGGCTGGTTACAACATCCCAGGCAGTGTAAGCTTGTCCACAGTGACTTGTTTACCAAGACCCTCACCATTTTTTGTATCACCTTAACTTGCTCCTTCAACTTCAGTTTCTTCCGACTGACAACAATCCAGACCTTTCAAAACAGAAAATGCCATTCAAGAACCACTCAAAAATTAAGATACTACTTACTATGCTAACTTAATCATAATTTACTAAAGCATTCTGTGGTTCTTGTGTTTTTGCCAACACTTCTGAAACAGAAAATAATTTCTGATTTCTAAAGACAAGACTGTGGAATAGCAATAAAGCTGACCTTAGGATCTCTGTCTCCAGACATGATGTGATGTACTGTCACCATAAATTTAGGGAAGCAAAATCTGTATTGCCATGT